CCCCCCCCCCCCCCCCGTGGCTCCGCCACTGATCGTATCATTGGGCGTTTCCAATGTTTTTTCCATTGTTCTTAGCTGATATCATTTTAAAAACCGCCTCAGAAAAATTATCACAGACTTCAGGATGAGAGCGATGTTTGGATTTCAGATTCTTTTAGGCCCCTGGATTGAAAAATGTCGAGACTCACACCTGTAGAATAGAGACTTAACCTTGCAAATTCAGTAGCAAAAGATAAGATCTAAAATAATGCCAGTTGAACGGAATTATCAGAAAAGAAGAACCAGTTTTGCTTCCCCCAGCGAGCTCTAATGCTTTTTCTATCGAGGTGAATTCAGTCAACAACTTTCTTGACGGTAGATAGTAAGATAAATCCACCTCTTTTGAAACGTCATCATCGTAACCATTAGTGAACCATAAGTACCTGCAAGCACTTCAGTACTGTAGTTTGAAGGCCAGTTTTCTTGATTGATACTTCATGTATGCCTACACCTTTCGTTACAGGATCATGGTCCTAATTGCGGAATTCACTCTCTATTTGTTTGTTCATGATAATTATCGGATAACAACTTTGCCTTGGGATTCTCCATGGACCTGGGTTCTATCTTTTCTGTTCATTGACTTTCTTTACTACTGGTTTCACAGAGCTACTCACGGTCAGTTTAAATTTTATATTTATGATAGACTTTTTCTCAAACTTGGCACCCGAAAAAGCTCAGTGCTGCTCTGTAGCACTAAAGCCTAACATGTTTACATGGTTTCTTCAAGAACCGTTGCCAATCTAGTGTTTACATGTAACTAAAGTAAGGAAGAAAATTTATTTAAGAATATACGAAAAACACATTTTTGAAGAGGCAATGATTCACAGAACATAGACTATGTTTACTTTTGTCTCTTGGGAAGAAAATGCCAGGATTGAGGGCTCGATGCATTGCCTACTAGGCAAATACCCCCGTTGACGCTTCAAGATCTCTCAAAAGGCAAAGGTGAATACGATGTATACAAAACAATTGTATTAATCTATATTCGTAATATTGTTTTAAAAAATCTCATTAAAAAACATCTTGACGTTTGACGATCTTTTGTTGATGTCCCTCGTTAGCTGCATATGTTGTTGTGTTCCTAGATGTTTTTTCCTACACTCCCATTTCCCATTAAATCTGTTCTTTTCAACTTTAAATTTTCTCTTGCAACTTAAGCTCCAACTGTATTTTATCTAGAGGTCAATTTCCTATGGGGTGCCCACCAGGTTCATCACAGCTCTGAAGACTACAATCTTTCGACTGCCCTGAGACAATCTGTTGTACAGAAGTACACAAAATGGGTAATTTCTCTTTGCCTTTTTATATGTTGTAGAGAAGCGAGAAAAGAATTTTTCTGAGCAGTTTAGCTTCTTATGGTAAAATGACTATGACACGACTTAAAAAAAAATTTAGATGTCATTTTGCCTGCTACTAAAATATGAATTCAAATATATTTTGAGAATCTTATGTATTTTAAAATCAAAATATCTTCCATTTAACAAGCTTGTGAGCAACGGTATGTTCGCCAGACTTCATTATAGTCACAAGCACACTTTTATTCGCAAAGTTGAATTTGCTTTCTGTGTAGTTTTTTGTAAATCTCAAGCCTATCTTTTGTTTATTAATTGGCTAAATGTTTATAATTTTCTTGAAAGGCTGGTAGCCCTCGGTGTTATGATCTTTTGCAGCCATGTTATGATCTTATGCAGTTTATCAGACTCGTATTCAAAAGGAGATCGATAAAATCAGTTCAGCTCCGTTTTTCTATATATGTTTGTAACATATAAAGATGGCCACTATAAAAAACTTGCTTTAAATTCTCAGATTTTTTACTTGCCACTGGCTCTTGTCGCTCCTCCATCTTCTTATTATGTACACACCCAGTTGAATCTCCTGTATCAGTTTTGGATCCATACAGAGGTAAGTAAAATAGCCCGTTTTTCGGGGATTTTTACCTTAATTTTCATATTATATGTTTGAGCAAAGGACCCAAGAGCATTTGACCTATGCCCAGAGGTGCTCATAGAATAGTAGAGACCGGTTGACCCCGGTTCTTTGGGTTTAAGGGGCTTTAGATATGCATTAAATATACAAATTTTTTTGAATAAACAATCAATCTCTGGTATTATCAAAAAAGGCGAACATTTCAGTCCTAATCATTGACCCGCTGCCTGGATCTGTGGCCCGGACCTACCATTTCAATTATACCTTGGTCCCTTATTTCCGCCTTTGATATTATAAAGGTCCCCTCTTTTTGCTCTATCTATGCAGCAGCATTACTACGGAGATGATTTCTGGCTAACCCTAATTGTCCATTCTCTGTTCATAGCTGTAATCCTATCATTTTTGTGCTTGATCTTCTTGTACCGTACATTTCTTTGCTAAAAACTGCGAATGTTACCAATATCAGATCTTTCTTAGGTAATCGAGTCCCTGGGACCTTTAGAATATATTCTGAACACCCCGAGTCATCACCGAGTCCACCATGGTAAGTCAAAGTTACATTGGTATGCATTGCTAATTTTTTGGTATGCTTACTGTCTGTTCGGATTAATTTTTGTGCTATTGAAGCACTATACATTGACCTTATATTCCTATTCTTGTAAGGTACCCAACCCTTATTTTTGCAGAATAGCATTTCAGGAAGCGTTTTCAAGCTCGTTTACTACCGTGAAAAAACACGACAACACATATAGATCTAGAGAATAATATGAATTTAAATAATTTATCTGAATTATATGAATTATTATATGATTCATTTATACGATTATATGAATTAAAATGATCTAGCGATTTTCATGGTTAATCATGAATTTTTCCTGATCTAGCGATGCATAAACGAGTAAAAATCTTATTTCAGTTTCAAGTGAGATTGATTTGAAACCATTTACTTTTAGGCCGAAATCCATATTGCATAGACAAGAATTACGGTGAGTTAGCTGCTTCTTAGAATTATTGTTAAATATTTTGTGCTTTTTTGAGGCTGCCACCAGTTTCAAACCACAGTTGATGAATTAAACGTCGGTTATATTTGGATTACCATTCCCTTTATTGAATATTTGTTATTTTGTTTATTTACAGATGTTTTTCAAAAACCTCATCCTGACGAATTTAACTATTTCTTTATAGGCGGGACACTGATCATATGGGATCGTTTGTTTGGTAAGAGTTAATTTTTTCTTTCTTCATCCTGAAGGATTTCTCCCCTTTTTTCTTCTTGTCATTTCATTTATCTTATTGTTAGTCGTTCAGTAATCCACCTTGCTCAATTCATTACATACAAGGTACATTCCAAGCTGAAAAGGAAGAGAAGGTGGTTTACGGTTTGGTTCACCCACTGGGATCTTGGAATCCAATCTACATACAGGTTATTTTGTCATCTTCCTTCCATACACTCCATTTCTAACAACGAAGACTTGTCTTGTGTATTATTGTTGTTACAAGACAAATTGCATTTTGATGAGTCAAAAATCATCAACGACCCGTTATCAGGCCAAATTTTCCAATTTTGGCCCTTTTCATAGTTTTATTTCCTGGAGAATTTGTTTTTGGCCTACTACTTAAATTTGGCCCTTTTGGCCTTTTCAGCAGAAATTCTAGATTGAAAGAGTAATCGCTACATCAATGGAGTAAATAGTAGTTTCCTACGCCCAAATGTCAAATATTATCACCTATAGGTCACACTAAAAGTAGAATTGAAATTAGGATTGTTCTTAAGAGATAATTTAATAGACGCATGCGTGTATAATCGGCGCATGCGCAATGCATAATGTTTTGATATGGCCTTTTTACAAGCATTTCGGCCTGAGTTGCCCACCTGTCTGGCCTCCGTTTGTAAATCCTATCTGGCAACCCAGGGGCTCCTTACACATTTAATTTTCGGTAACCATTGTAGCCGACCAGATGGCACTTATTTGATATTTGTGGCTTTCTTCTACGTCTATAGATATTCTGTCTTGAACGGTGAAACAGAAAGACATATTTGATAAGTAGTTCCTTGAAATAGAGAAATATGAACGTAAAATGGGAAAGTTTGTTTTTTCCTCGAGAGTTCATGCTTCTTTTTATATATATTCCACTAAAAATTTACCAATTTCGCTACCTACCAATTACTTGACAAACACTACAGGGACGTTGATACCACGGGGAGCAATAGACATGACAACCCCGTGGCAAATTAACATAGAAAGAATAAAAACTACCTGGTGAATCAGGAAGAGGCACCACCCGCCCGCATAGCCGCACCTGAGAGCCACTAACCGACACTCATAATTGGATGCGAATTAAAACAATGCTAGAAAAATTGTACCCCAGGCCTTACTTGAGGGAATATTATCGAGTGTGTGGCCCCCACCACGACTTCCCAAGCATGCAGCACCCCTCCCCCGACCCACCCATTACATAAACATACACAGAAGAACATAAGAATACTACAAAAGAATTAAATTTACATCTACTTGACGCTTTTATATCATTATTGCTTATTTTCGAAATCAATTATTATCAACTCTTGAGCTTTATTGAAGACGTTTTCATTTATTTTCAGCTCTGTCACTTCCAGTATATGTTTCAAACATTTTGGAAAATGGATGGCATCCGAAACAAGGTCACAAAACGAAACTTTTGACTGCTGTGTTGTATCTATGTAATTTAATAACTAACATCTTCATTCATTGGTTACATTTATTGATAGGTACAGATCTCTTTTTCTACTCACTTCTTTTCGTATTCTTCTAGATTTCCTTCGTGATAAAAGGCCCTGGCTGGGTTCCTGGAAGTCCACGTCTTGGCAACCCGGAAGACATTCCCGATGTACATGATTATTTACTTCAAGATTTTACAATTTAAACTTTGCAAACAAACATCTGAAAAAGCTCATTAAAGCTGAGAATAATGTTTTGTCCTAAAATTCCTAAAAGTTTACTCTACTGTTTTAGACGTATTTGCTAATTTCTCCATGTTTAAATTTTGGGAACTGCTATCTCTCTTTCATATGGTCAATAAACGTTAAAGCATCACAAAATTTGTTGCATATCTTTATATCAATATTAGAGTGCATCAGCCTAGCGCCAGGAAAAGTTCTGTTGAATTTGCCTTGTTTTGAATTAGTAATGTAAGTTAGTTAAGGCGTGATTTAGGCCTGTTCTCGTGTGTGCTTTGAGTTAAAAGCATTACCAAATAATCATATATTTTTATACAACGATGTAGAGCATAGTCCAAAATACCACAGTTACAGAGCGTTCTTATAACTATCTTGATCTAAATACTGAGATAATAAATCCTGTTTTTTATAGATCGAGCATCCAGTTGTGAAGTTTGATACAACAACCCCCCTGATCCAAAATTTGTATGTGGTAATGCATAGTTTGGTTCTGGTAACCGCATTTCAGGAGTTGGCAGCCAAAAGATTTGTAAGTACTTTTTGGTTGCATTTGAACCAGCAATGATAAGGTCATGTGAGAAAAACCGCGAATTTACTGAGGGACTAATTTTAGACCTGATGCATGCTTCGACATAAAATGACCATACTTTGATTCATAGGCAAAATGGATTTTGAACTGGTTTAGTTTATTTGTTCATTGACGTTTGTTAGGATATATGTTATAAGCTATATGGTATCTAGCAAGCTATATGTCATAACCTACTCTGTGTTATGTATAAATATTCTACTTGCACAGCGCATTTTTGGTTAGCTTAAAATGGAAATGAGAAGAAGTGGGAAAAAAAGGGGTGCGTCTTATCCCTGTTCTGTCTGTGTTAACCCAATTACTCATTAAAGGCAGTGTACAAAATAGCATATTCCTTTTCTTGATAGATTCTGAGTGTTGCCCATATATGGTCTGTTGGTGGATTCATTATCTTTACAATGACAAGTATTGGGTTCTTGTTAGAACGCCGGTGAGTTTTAAAATTCATCTTTAACCCGCATTAAGTAAATATTTTTCTGTTAAACCAATATTTCAAATAAGATATTTTGTTACTTTGAAAGTATACGGTATTTGAAATCAAAAGCTCATTTATTATCTTTTATTCGCCCTTCCACGAAATATAACCAGACTCTTGCAACTTTGTCAACAGGTCTTTCGCTGCCCCGCTAGAGACATTGCGATGCCTCCTCTTCATTGTTATTGACCTGGTGACATCTTCAAAGAAATACGACTTGGCAGGTATGACAAAGTTAGCCCTCAATCATAGCTATGAAATCAGCATACATACATATAAAGACACCTATCAGATTTCTAGTATTTTGCTTAATTCTACAGCCAAGTTTATTTTGTTACAATATTTTTCATAATATATTTTTAATTACCCAAATTTATTTGCTTGTTTCCTCCCAATCCCCTTCTGGCTACACAGCAACTCTATACTTCACCTACTTGTCCCTCGTGGGTTCATGGTATTGATTATGAAATCTCTTCCTTTTAGTTTTTTCTGGAAATAAACTGGATATCGTAAGAATGGTTTATGTGGTATCTGCTTTCATTTGGACCGTTGTCTCCTTGAAAGAGCACAGAAACAGCAAAGCCAAAGCAGAGTAAAAGACTAGTGACAATCATGGTCATTAGTTAGAAGAACATTGAGCATGCAGCATTTTTATAACGTTATACATATATATATATATATACCCATTTATAAAGCTACATTTGGATCACTGCATGATCTATATTGATTTTTCCAAATGAACGGTTTATTTTGAATCAATATTTTTGTAAAGAAGAGTATTGCTTGATTCCAAGCAAATTTTTGTCCATCCCGATCGTCACCTTCGCAGATATTATTTGCAGAATAAGCAGTTATATCTAATAGTCTTTATCAAGAAACTTGATTCTCTAGTTATTTTTGTAGTAAATGATAGTGATAATGTGGTTCGATGTAGTTTTTTTAATTGTAAAACAAAATTTATATATATATCCATTATGAATATATCCATTATGAAATTCAATTTATAGTCTTCTATTTGTTAAGAAAGCTGAAGTCTGCAACGAGGATAATAATGCGTTAGTGCATTTCTCGATTAAATTGCAAGATCTTGTAAAATTCCTAGAAGTAGAATCAAATGTTGCCTTAGATTGGCTTAAAAGTATCGAGATGATAGCAAGCTCTGAAAATGTAATGCTTTGATAGGAAAAAAAGACCGATCTGACACTACTGGTGTACCAAACAAATTGCAAGACTATAAGATGCAATCAAAAACTGATGTCAAACTACTGGGTACCAATGACCCCCACGTTGCCGATTTGTGTTAGAAAGCAGCACCACAACTAAATGTCCTGCAAAGATTGAAATCCTTTTTTGGCTTAGAAAAGAGAAAAATTCTTGTTGAAAGTTTTATATATTGAAATTTATATAAAGCTAAATCAGCACAAAAGTTAAAAAATACGGGAGAGAGAGTCGAGATTTCCTTGAAAAGACGATGCGTAATCCTATCTACGTAAGGCAGGAAAGAACTTTAGGCATTTCTCTCGTCTACGAGGTTTATGCAAAGATATTTACAAGACTATGGAGTTTGGAAAGTATTTTAATCCTTTTGAATTTTACAATTTGAAAATCTTCATATATTTATTGCCATTTTTATTCGAGTAAGATTAGCTTCTTTTTACTTTGTAATTAAAAACTAGAATTACTTGTATTTCGAATTAAAATTGGATTACTAATTTCTTGACCATTTATGAGCCACCCGGTTAGTTCAGGGTTAGTTCCAAAAATATGATGCTTCGGGGTTGGTATTGTGCATATTTGGTACTTCTACTGCCCGTCCCTCATTCAAAGTTTAGACAAACAGCGGAAAAAAGAAATATTGATCTGGGGTAGGGGGTACATGGGGTTTGAAAGGGTTGAAATATCTCAACACTCCCCGATTTCCCTTTTTATTTTATTTTTATTTATTTCTTTTCTAGTCTAGTTTACAAAAATAAATAAATCTAAGTAGGGGCTCTTAGCTCGATAGCTCTTTATGAGTTTTTTCTAAGTGTTCCAAGCAGCCATTGCATATATTAATACATTATATTAAAATTGGTGGTTACCTATTCCTTGTTAATTAATTTATCTTTAAAACATTCTTAAAGTTGTTATTAAATCATTGGTAGCTATCTAGTTTATATATTCCACTAAATTGTAATTAATGGTTGCTTGAATGAAAATTTGATTTTATTTTTTGTTTGATTTTGATTGTAATAAAGATAAATTTTTCCTGCGGAGGAGCTTGGTAACCTGGGAACAATCGGACGCTTCAGAAGATCAGTAAACATTCCAATCGTGATTCCACCTGCTTGTCGAAGATGGCCGCCGAGTAGCGCCAACCACCACACAGTCGAAATTGCAACTGATTGACTTGTTGCCAAAGCAGCTGTGGATTGCAATGAGGTAAGAAATAGCTACCCTTCTAATTCAAGCTTAAGAATATTCGTAGTTGCTCCACGATTTGAAATAAAGAGCATCTAACATGTCAGCCTAATGGGCCTATTTTGATTACATTTATCTCCAGTCATGTCGAACAAAGTATTAATCTTGTTACCAGACGGAGACGTAGATTATTCTGCGGCTGCAAGATTTGCATTCGAAGATTAGCAGTTGCACTTTATTTGTTTTTATCAGACCATCTTTATATTTTGCTTTTGGGCTTTTTGGGTTAATGATTTGACTTGAAGAGCAAATGACCAACAGACATACATAAACGTAATCAATGCATACGTTTATTAAAAATATCAAAAAAAGATCGTTCAGCTTTTTTATGAATGCGAGAAGCAAGCCTAGTGAGCATGTGCAAAGGCTTATTTTTTTCAGGAAACTTGATAAAGCAAGACTTGAGATCATCATGGTACAACTGAAATTTGATTGTCAACAAGGATTCTAGTGAAATCTTTTTTGAAAGCCAAGAACTCATTTTTCATAGTTTTGATGATTTCTCACTTATGTATTGGACAGCCTATGCAATTTCAAGCCATACCTTTTTGCTAGAAAGTCTGTTCTATACTCAATAAAATGAAAGTTTCAATTTATCAAAACAATAGAAACACAGAAGCTGATGATAAATGCTGATGTAAGGTAAGTATGGAGGAAGAGGATGTTTATGTCACTCAGCTCAGGGATGTGTTTGAAAGCTGTGACTTGGAAGGCAAGGGATATCTGGATCGCAGTGAATTGATTGATTTATGCCAGAGGTTGCAACTTGATGATCAGATACCAGCAATTCTTACTGAATGTATTGGAGATCAAGTTAGTGATGGACAGGTAATTTTAAGTAAATTTTGGCCTTGAAGGTGTAAAATTTATAATATATGTGTTTCTTATGAAATTTTTTTCCATATGTATAAATTTTGTACTTTGTCTGGTGTGTAAAACCCACTTATTTGTTGACAAATCAGTTGCATACAGTAACTTTTTTTCTGTCATTTTATTTGTTTATGTTTATGATTTTATCATAGCTAAATATAAAAATATTTAATTTATTATTTACTTCTTTGCCTATGGCCAATTTTTTGATGTTATATATTTTTTCTAATTAATGATTTAGCTATTTTGTAATGGAATCTTTAAAAAATGTTAGGTTAGTGTCAGGGACCAGAGTCCCATGAGGAGTCCTACTTAATGTCTTGTGAGATATTTTTTGCAAGAGCTCCTATGACTTTTTCATAGCACTACATACTGGAACAAAAAAGTACATTTCTCAGCCATTTAGTCTTTTGAAAGCAAAACAAATTAGAGGTCTTGTTTATGATGATTCTCGTTCTATAATCTAGGTCAAATTTGAAGTCTTCAAAGATGCATTTGTTGCGGTATTGTCACATACCATTGATAGTTTGGCAGAGGCTACAGAGGAAGATCGATCTGAATTTTCAGACATCATAGACACAGGTTCTTATGCCTTTTTACATTTAAGTGGATGAAATTAAGGTGGATTGTTTTGCTTTCATAATGAAAGATGCCTGTCTCAATAGGGCAAGTAATGTATTGCTAAATGCATAATTGGCAAGATAAATGCAAAGGATACTTTTCTGCATCAAGGTATGTTGAACAGTGGAGATGCCAGCTACTGGAGAGTGGGTTGGTTGTGGGCATGATCCAGGCCCTGACTCTACCTTATGTATTTTGATCGAATTTTTTAAGACAAATTATATTGTTTTGAAAAAAGTTAGTGGTACTTAACCCCTTGACACCACCCCTTGGCAACCTCTCATTGATTTTGCAGTTAACTTAATGATCTTGTCTTACAATAACTGCCAAATTGGTGGATTCAGTTTTGAAAAACAATTATTGAGATGGAAAGAGCATTGGAGTTTTTTGTGATTTTTAATTTCCATCATTACACTACACATCCAATGACTGAATAAGAGATCATGGGGATAGATGAGCCATTGTCCCCAAATACTTTCTAGAAATTGTAAATGATCTTAAGTCCATTGGTTGTTTTAAAATGTGTACTGAGACTAATGCAAAAATTATTATCTTACTTTTGTCCTTCTGCATTTATAGAACCCATGTAGCTTTAAAGCCCTCATCCCCAAATATGTAATATGCTGTATGGCCACTGGAAGCAGGGTTCACTCTATATCATTTATACATTTAGGGTGCTTGAATTGATAGATATGAAGCTATGCACAAAGTTTATTGGTTCAAGTTACTCACAATTTTTCCAAAGCTTTAATTGAATCAAATTCAAATTTTAGAGTCAGAGCCGTATAAAGTATTCAACAATAAAAAGTATGGGAGAAAATCTAAAACTGGAAGCTCTCTTGATGACACAGTTCAAAGCGATGGGGATTTGGAAGTGGCTCAAAAACGCAGAAAATCAACTGAAATCGCTCCTAAAGCTCACAAATCATTGGTCAGGAGGTCAAGCTCTAGGGTTAGTTAATTCCCTATGTTGAATTTTCGACATATTGACTCAAAGGATATGTGTCTTATGGTACATCCAAATGTTTTTCCAGAAGAAAGTGGTTACCTTTTGTTTGTGTGACACCTGTGAGGATACTGAGGTGACATTGGGGGCTTTCATTACACAACATCACGTTTTTCTTCCCGATATCATCACCAACCTATTTCTGCTCCATTTTGATGTAGATAGTGAGTTTATAAAGGAGTAATATTGGACTGTGGCAAATATGTGTTTTCTACTGTTAGTATAAGGAATATTTGGTCTTAAACATATTTCAGTAGCTCCTCCTATTCCGACGTTGTCTCTCCACTTTATCGCTGCTCGTACCGACATCCCATCGTATTGTACTCTGTGAATGAAACGAAGACCCTCACTTTTAAAAGAAAACACTTTAGCTTCCCTGTTCAATCTTGAAATTCCTATTCAACAGGGTCTATTCATTTGATATGTCTTTTTCCAGTCATTATCACGGAAACTAAGTAAAAGAAGCAGTGGGGGTCTGCCTGCTGCTCTTCGTCGAAAACTCTCTACGCCACCAGAAGAAAGAGGTGGTCTAGGAAGGGAAGAGGTTTTAGAAGGAAGTGGTGCCATGGATTCCGTGTTAAATGCAGGCGAGGTTGCTGAAGAAGGTAGATCTTACAACGATGAATTAACAAGCTTCAAAGGATTGAAAACCTTTAAAAACGTTGATAGTCAAGTGATAATGAAAATTTTAGTATCAAGGTTCAAATTTGCTTTGTCCTTCAATTGATCCAATCGTCCCTCAAGTTATGCGTGTTCCCTATTTCTTTTTGCAATACCAGATTAGTGATAGTTGCAAAGATCGTAAAGTAAAGGCCTCCGTGCCATTAAACTTTATCTGTTTATTTCCCGCAAGCTATAGGCGCACCGTTTCTGTTTGGACTTAAGCCCACCTTTCTAAAAAATGTTCCAGTTGTGTCTTCTGCTCTAAAGACTTAGTCCAGTATAACCTAATAATAACGAACCAAGTATCTAATTCCACATAAACACAAGGAAAGATCTGTAATGGATTTCTAGGTGCAAAATGACGCTAATAATGGTTTGAAATATTCGTTTTTTTCCTGAACCCTAACGGCTAACGGTAGTTAAGGATTATGATTTCTTTTTCGATCAACAGATATGATCTCCTCTGATGATATTGAGCAGCTTAAAGAGATATTTGATGAGTTGGCTGTTGGAGTCAGTGGGTACTTAGATATGCAAGAGTTAGCTATAGTGTGTGAGCACATTGGCATGGAAAACATCCAAGATCAGGTTAGGATAATTAATTCGCCGCATAGTCAATGCTTTTTAGATACACTATTACTTCCAATGAGCGCCACAGAGTTTGTTAAAAACGTGCAGGCAAAAGTGCCGCGTGAATAAAAACGGCTTTTGTTGAAAAGCCATTCAAAGAAAATTGATATTTGCTTGAAGCAACTCGCAAAACACGTATGTGTCTCAGCTTATGCAGAAATGCATGCCCAGGTAGAAGCACAAACTACACCAGCCTATGTTTGTCAAGCCATGTAAAATAGTAACACTGCTTCCGATATCAGTAAACGGTTTATGTCAGTAAACAACCAGCAGACGACATTCTTCGCTTGTAAATCATCGACGTCTTGTCAAATGTGAAAAACTGCAATCCCGGACAAAATGAAATTTTTGCAATTTTCTACTTTAAGTTGCCCCGAAAATTCGAATACACCCTTTTCCCCCGAATCAATGTAGGATTTGTAGTTCTATCATTTCTCCTTCATAATCATGCATTCAACATTGAATTGGAGGAGGGAGTTATTTTCCAAAGGAAAGAGAAAATATCAACTTTCCTAGAAATTTCTCAACTACTTTTGTCCGGGATTGTAGATATGTTCCTCTACTTTTTTGAAGCTTTCCTGTCTTACTGTCATTGCTCTGTGTGGACCAGGCTTTAAGGGTCGAAACACCGTATGCTTTAAGGGTCGAAGCACCGTTACATAGATGCTTTCTTGAGAGTTTCCTTCAAAAACTACTGTTGTTTTTATCTTAACAACCTTTCGACTACTATCCAATGCATTTATTAGTAATTATCATTGCTTTTGTTTTTGTCTCAGGAACTAGAGCTTCTTTTCAAAGAACTTGATCAAAATGACGATGGCCTAGTGAGCTTTGACGAGTTTCTCCATGGCCTATTTTTGGCCACAAAGCACCAAACATCTCAAGACGTTTCTGTTGAAAGTCCCATCGTACCAGTTAACAACAACAACAACGTCGAGGTAGAGCCTCAGATGGCAAACCTCCAGCCAACTGTTTTGTCTCCGAGGGGCAACAGAAGAGTGAGTCTTATTTAAAGTTTAGCTCATCATCATCATGATCATCATCATCATCATAATTATCATCATCATAATTATCATCATCATCATCATCATGATCATCATGATCATCATCATCATCATCATCATCATGATAATTATCATCACAAAATACATTTAACGTATCTAAGGTCGATATGAATGTCTACGGATTTAACAACAAGCAAATTAATTCGCTGAAAATGTGCTTCGCATAGTCTGAAATATTATTTGAGTTTGACTGCCCAACTGTAATTCTTGGTAAACCGTATAAAAGACTGAGTTTTTACAACATCAACCCGGACAAACTTTAATGCAAGTTTTTTAGAATTTTTTATATGCGTTTATTATCTGTCAGATAAGCCCTTTAAAGGAGTAACATACCATAATGTGGCATGATTGAAATAACATGATATAACGTGACATAGCACAGGCGTTGGCGTTACAGGGATTGACATGACATGACACAACTTAACCTGACTTGAAATCAAAGACCTAACAAAACATTACATAACAATACATGACACAACACTACACAACACAACACAACACAACACCACATAACATAACATAACATAACATAACATAACATAACATAACATAACATAACATAACATAACATAACATAACATAACATAACATAACATAGCATAACATAACATAACATAACATAACATGTTGATTTATGATATAAAATAAGCCTTACATATCATCAACATATATTCTGTTTTGCTTTTTCAGACTTCTAGTGTTGACGACAGCAGAGTTGCAAAGAAAGTCGGTTAGTAACGCAAAATGTTAATCTAAAAAGCCCCGCTTTTGTTTGTCAAATGCTTAGGCGTTTATTAAATTTGCATGTTGCCATATGCGAACGTTTAAAATACAGCAGGTTGTCTTTTTATGTGGGACATTTTTTGCCATTAGGGCAGTCATATAAAGCAAGTTTCGTTACTATTTCATCAGTGATATAAATGGTTGTTGCATTAATTTGTATCAAAATGGTTGGTCTTCAATAAGAAAGAGAGAATCTTTCAACTCATTATTTGAGCATTCATTTCATGAATTTTAAGCAGATTTATCAATTTCTTGAATATTTTCTTTCCAGATATTCTCAGTTTTCTGGATCATTCAAACACTGGGTGAGTGAAAATTTTTTCGTATTTATTATGATCAAAGCGTTCTAATTAATATTTTTTGACAAAAAAGGGCTTCCCTAAACAGCAATGTCCGTGCATTGATCTTTACTCGAACGCTTGAATTCCCTTGTCATATCAGGGCCTAATTATCTTAGTGAAAGTTCATTTTCTCTCCTATGCTTCTGTTTACAATTGTATAACAATGGTAATAAGTGCGATCCAAAGAACGTTGCCAATTTATCTAGCTTAGACCTATAACAAAAAAGCAAAATTTGAACATAATGGTAACGATATTTACGCAAAAAGACTTGAACAATATTTTTTGAACTAGAAAAAGTTATTTAGCTTAGCTGTTGGATGAAATTTTTACTGTTTTTTTTCATTTTATAAGTTCTATATTTTGGCAGCATTCTCATAATATTATAGCTAGATATTGAAGTTGTTAACCGCTAAATCATGTCAAACTGCTTTGAAAATTTATGCGCTTCTTCGACCTTAATCATATCTTCATTTTCAGCTGGAGCAAGAAGGAAAGCGTTGAAGAATATCTCAATTCTCTTGGTCTTTCAGACGTGAAAGGTATTTTACGGGTAAGACATAAATATTCCTTTTTACTCAGTTTTCGGCTACTACGATGTTGATTAAACATAACAAATTGTTGCAGCAGCATGGAACTAGTTCTATATCGTTGATTGTCTCCAATTAATGTTTATTTCTACATATTTAGTAGAATTTTCCAAAATTTGATCGATAATGAAATAGGTTCTTTTATCGTTTGATTATGTGCTTATCTAAGCAGTCTTGCAATGTTTGCTCCAATTCATGAAATTTTTTTTCAGCAATTACAACCCAATGCGGAAGGTGAAATCAATTTGAAAGACTTGACAAAGACGCTTGAGTCAATGGTACACGAAAGAGGAGACAGTAAGTTCGTCTTTGATGATCTATCACCATGCAACTTGCCTTTTAACATCACAGCCGCAGGATATTCTTCGTGGCTACAAGCACTATCAAATATCTTTGTACATTAACGTCAGTTTCCGCCATCCTTATCTCCTTTATAATATAACGTTGATTTATTATAAAATGGCGTAGTTACTATAACATAAGGAAATATGTTTCCTGTATTGAAAAGATTTTCATATCTTGGTCTAAATTTTATATGTCTGTGCCCGGAGATTTGCAAAAAAGACGAAACATTTAAAGCCAAACTCAGGGTTTTGGATGTTCCAAGTAATTTTGGCAGGTATTTTAGCTTTTGTGTCCAAACTTGCTGAATAGATAATACATCAGCTGATTATAAAGCAATAATAGGCTTTTTCTTTTGGTTTAGCGGACCTCATTTCACTTTTTTTACGTTTCTTTTTGACTCGTCTGTGATCATGACTCACAGTTATCACTGAATAATTACAAGTTGGATTATGAAGTATAAGAATTTAAGGCTTTCTAATTTATACCGAAGATTAAGTACTTACATCTTTATTTTTCGTCCAGTTTACTTATACATTAATGGTTTATTTTATTATTTGTATTTTATCAGAGATAGATAAAGGGGAGTTCTTTTTTTATTTACAAAATGCATTTGTTTTTTCAAGCTGTTTCAGAGGCCGTTTTGCAAGCATACCTGCATGAAATCAACCATTTAAGGTGTGTAATCGCTTATTGTCCATTTAATTTTTATCCTATAAATGTTTTAATGTATTTTGCTCATGTAAAACACTTACTTGTTCCGGTTGATTTATACCTTCCAGTTGTTTATTTTTCATCCAATCTAATTATTCCTTCAACACACTGTTTTTAAAAAGAATCGTTTGGTCATTACCATCAAAATCTCCAACAGCTTGCCACAAATCATCCATATATGTTAAAGTTTGTGTCCCTGTCGGCTATGCTGCCTTCCCTGCGTAATATCAGAATATAATTACCCTATATTTGTTTGCTTCTCTGTACGAGTAAATATAATTACTGTCCCAGTAGAGACTTTTAATACATGTTAAGTTTGTCTGCAGATGTATTATCTTGCTCTCATATCAGGATGTGTATTTGTGTAGTAAAATAGTTGGCGAGCAAAATTTTTCTCGGACAGCTCATCGATCTACTTGTTAACAGATGTAACATCTTCGATTTTTACTCTAATTATCTACATAAACAATTAACATTAAAACATGAATTTTTTACAGCCTGCACAGTTTTCCGTATAAATTTCTACTGCTCCTTTTTCAAATTATTCTTTTCTATAATCCCGCTAAAAAAGCTTAGCCAAAGCAGCTTTCTTATGGTTATATTAACACCGTTTTTCGTATCTAGCAAATGTTCATAAGGCTTTTTCGTTTTGCTCACATAAATGAACCCCTTCCATTAGAAGTTTCTGGCATTTTTGTGACACCCAAACTAATTTTGTCGCGTTGGGATCAAAAGAGTATGAAGGACAATGCCATAACCCAGAAGTTCTGTTGAAATAAACAAAGAATGCAGATTGTCTTGCTGTAAACAGACAAATGTCTTAATTATACAGCCTCGCTTTGGTGCAAATCCAAAACTGGTGTTTGAATTCATGGTTGACACTCAATTATTCATTACGAATTTCTCTTCGGGTTGCCCACCGAACTAGGTCTTCCTTTGATCTCTTTCTTTTTTCTTTCGTCAATCTAAATCTCTGTTTTTTAGCATTTTCTCTTGCTCCTTTCTCTCCACACTTTAAATATTGCACTCACAGCAGACATTCTCTCTACTTTTCTTCTCTATATGCTGGTGCACGCATATTTTAGGCCATCTGCCTTCACCATAATTGTTTACAAATGCTTCCAAGAAGCATAAACAGCGTCCACAGATGCTTGACCACGCTTTCCTTAAGGCTTCTCCTAGACACTCTAATCACGTGACTTCTAAGCAAACTCTGTGTAGAATTATAGTTTTGGCAAGTTCATTTCAAAGTTGCAATAGAGATACTAGCATGGGTGTTACTTGATACACACAAAACTTTCGAAGATTTTTGCAAAGTTGTTTATCTTATTGACGAAATATAAATGCAAAGATGCCAAGATTTGCACCAGAAAAGATTCGTGGAATTATTGAAGGCTCAGATGAAACAGGAGTGTTTGAGGATAATTTTTCGACTGTCAGCCAGTACGATCGATGGGCCGATGATATGGTTGATGCATTGAGGCCTTTCGTAAAGAGGTATGGCTTAAGGTCGTAGGTCGCAATGTTTGCTAGGATTTTTACAGCAATTGCTCTTACTGATTTTCTCTTAGATTCAGGTTATATTGCTACATCTAGATGGGCTTTTGGAATAAAACACTCATGTGAATAAGTAGAACGAATATTTTATATAGTTTATGGAATTGTTATTTTTTGTTGTGAGTCACCAAGGTTGTTTCCTTGACGATAACATTTCTTTGGGTTTTTTCAAACAGTTTTTCTAGAAAACAGTACACGGAAATGAAACAAATTGCTTTTTCTATGATCTTTGTCCGTTAAACTACGAAATCTTTTTGACTTGTTGAAGATAATTATGGGCTCATGTGATAATATGATTATGGACTCATTTGATGTTTCAACCGTAGAGGAGAACTCGAGTCGGTGACGTCAGAAAGGAATCAACTGAAAGGAAGTGTGAGCAAGTTTGGAGTGGACAGCTCGATGCTCATAAGAGAAAGTGAGGAACAGACGCGGCAAGTCGAGCAGCAATATGAGAAAAAGCTAAAGTAAGTGACTGGTTCAGAATATTTTATCAAATTCATCTTGTAGCTTTTCTCAAGGCAGAAGAAAGTGGTGTGCTGTGTTTTTTGTGGATATAAGTGTAAGTATATCTTTAGAAAATGGTGTTCCAGTGCTCCTAAATGTGAAAATAATCGTCCTCGATAATTCCGTTTTTACATTGCATATATATAATATTTTGTGTTGTGAGCTGTGGCAAACAGTGTAGTGGTTGTGCTGTGGCAAACAGTGTAGGTCGGCGTGTCAGTGCAGGATTTTGCTAGAAATGTCAAAGAACAATTCGCTTAAAGAAAAAACCTTGGTATTGTATACAAATGTTGTTTCAGTTTTTAAACTATTATGTTCTTGAAACATGTTCTCAATTTCTAAAGTCACAAATCTGGATAATTTGAGCTCTAGATCATAGCGCTGTGATTAATAAATTTATTTGTAATATTTTTCTTTTAATGATCCATAATTTCTTTGTTTTTACAGTCAGCAAGATAAAGTTTACAGCGGAAAATTACAGCAAAAGGAACTAGAATGGCAATCGGATCAAGCTCAGTTGCGATCCTCGTTTTCAAAGGAAAAGGCTGAACTAGAGGTTCAGTTGAAGAGTGCTAAGCTTGAGGAGGGCAAATTAAAAGACAAACTTCTGGAAGCCGAATCAGTAAGTGTAAACTCTTTCCAATTATTATTAGCAGCATCAATGATGACGATCGCAATCATAATCACAAATTAATCAGGCAATCATCGTCATAATCAGTCAATCAAATAATAAAAATCAATAAATCATCCATCATGGCTATCCCCCATCATCGTCGTCACCATAATTGTTTTTCCTCCATCATTATCACTAGTAATGATCAACTTGTTTTCTGATTTTCAGGAAATCGATCGGCTGCAGCAGCATGTTTTAGACGTCATTTCTGATTTAGAAGAGGAGCAAAGAAAGACTCTTCGGCTTGAAAAAGATCTGGAATCAACTGCTGATATTCAAAATAGAGTAAGCATATTTTATCATCTTGTTATGTTTTTTTATATTGCTTTACGTCTTGTACAAACAACTGCTGTTGAATTTCATTTTACTTTTTGATTCACGCACCACTTTGTATTCGTTGGAAATCTCCAGAAAAAAGGCTTTAAGCAAAATTAAGTAACATTCTAGTGTATCTCAAATCCCACGCCTGGAATTCTTTCAGTTCTTTTATGATGGCTAATTACAACATACATATTAGAAAATAAACTCTGCCCAGTGAATATCTCGAAAATAAATTCACTACTAGGTCTAATATTTCGAAATACAACATAAGAAAAACTGATGGTTTCCAAATTCCTCTGCTTCGTCTTAATTATTGTACAAAGTCCTTCGGATACCAGGAAGCAAGTACCCGGAGCGAGATCCCAATGCAAATAAGAGACTCTGTCTCAATGAGTTCTTTTGAAGTAAGAGCGAGGAAAACACAACCCCTTGAAAGAGCAGTTTTTTTCTTTTAATTAATGTTTTAGTTATATTTATTTGTACGCTGAAGAGTTGTGTGGTAAAAGAGAGTAAGTAATAAGTGATAAAAAGATCGTTAAATGTATTTTCACATCGCGTCTATCAAACCGTCTGAGAGCTAGTCAGCGTTTATGCTTACGTCGCCATTTATTAAAATAAGTTTTTCCCTTAGATCATCGAGCTGGAAGCGAGCAGAGAGATGTTGCGTGACCAATTTACAAGCCAAACACGAACGGTTACGGAACTGGAACAAATAAAAAAGGTTGTGATTATATAAAGCACTAAATCCGTTAACACATTATGTATAGGGACAAAGTAATGATGTATGTAGAGTAGATGAAAATGTTTGTACTGAGTTTGTTAGGCTTTGAAGTTTTTTTTATTGGAATGATGTTCATGTAATTTTTTGCGAAATTTGTTTATATTGGCATGATGAAAATTGATTTAGGTATTGCCACGAGATCGAAAAACTGGAACATTAACTAGAATTAACATTAACTAGAACAGAAATGGTCATCAGCTGTCGCACATTATTTGAAATCAGTTTTTCATCGACGCTATTGAATTCGTTTGAGAAAATTTATATTTCAGCACTTTACTACAAATCGCTTTAATGTAATCTTCATTTTCAGGAAATGTTTTTATCGTTTATGTTTAAGTATATTTATTATGCTTTAAATTTCAAAGAGCAGCTATATGCATTTTGTTATAGGAGCTACGTGATGAAAATGACGAATTACATGTTCAGCTAGAGAATCTAAAAGCTCAATTGAACACAATGGGGAAAAAGAAACACAGAAGGCGGCATACTCACAGCAAAGCTGAAGACGACAGTGTCAGCGAAAGGTCGAAGGGCAAAAGTCATCGTAGCAAAGAGAGTCCAAAGGTCAGCAAGGTCGGGTCATATCTCTCTGATTATACGAAGCCAGTAATTATAAAGCGAAATGAAGAAGGTGAAACAACAGAAGAAGAAGAAGATGTTGATATGCAAATGGTGGATGATGATGATGACGACAACGGTAATTCATTTTATTTTATTTTTTTGGTATCTGATATAAATATGACTGATACACAATGTCTAAATATGATATCCCCCTCAGTATTATCAAATAAGCCACAGTGAAATTAACGCACACTCATTAAAAGTGATTTTTGGAAGTACCCTAAATAAAGAAAATGAGTTTGTGTGGAGTGGCATTCTGAATATTCCCCTACAGCTGATGCTGTTTTAAAACAAATTTGTTTCACATTTTAGAATAAATTCATTTATTACCAGCTCTGGAATTCTACGTGCAAACGTTGGTAATTTTAGCTTTTATCATAAGACCTAGAAATCTACCCTTTTCTCTTTTTGTACCTTATGAAAAGTGAAGTGGACGTGTTTGTGTATAATAGTATTACTATCATAATTTGATATTACTTTGATGAAAATTAGAACTAGAATAAAACTTGTAGAAACCCAAAATTATTTGAAAAATAAAAACAACACTGAAAACTGAGTTTTCACCTCAATTCTAAGGAAGCCCTGAACTTTGTAACTATAAGTTTTTGATAAGAAATAATTGTTTTAATAACTTCAACATAATTTTTCAGGGTCTCAAGAATTCAAGAAAAAGATTCGCGAGCAAGAGGCTATAATTAGCCGCCTTCGGGAAGATCTTGAGAGCACACAGAAGATGTTAGAAGGTGACGTAGGCGAGGCCAAATTGAAATACGAACGAGATCTTCTAAGGCATGAAGAAGATAAGGCTGAGGAAATTGCAGAGCTGCAGAGCAAAGTTGATTTGGAGAAGAAATTGCTAATTGATGAGTACGAAATAAGGTTAAGCAATATGGAGGAAACATACACTGCAGAGAAAGATGCAATCATTTCTGGGTTCTTGAGGGAAAAAGATGAGATTCAAAGCCAGTCAGATACAGAGAAAGTCGAACGAGCAGAGATGCAGAAATCAGAGAAAAAGAAGCTAGAAAACATATTCAAACAGGAGAAGGAAGAGACGGATCTGAAATACAAATCAAAGGTCACCAAGCTTAAAGAGAATATTGTCATTTTGGAGACAGATAAGGCGGAAATGGAACTGAAATATGTCAACGAAAAGGCGGAAATGGAACAGCAATTCAGGACAAAGGCTGCAGAGATGGAGGTAAGGCTGGATGCAACTAAATTGGAATTGCAACGTGCAGGAGAGGAAATAGAGAGGCTCAAGGCCGAGTTAGCGAAAAGACAGCAGAGTAATGGTTATGAAATTGAACGAAAGTGGAGAAATGAAATTAGTACGCTTGAGGCCGAGAAAGCTGAGCTGCAAATGAGCTTTTTCAATGAAAGGACTGAACTTGAGCAAAGTTTTAGAGCTCGGATATTAGAATTGGAGCAGAAATTGTCAGCTTCTTTGAGGGACAACGAGCAGGCCCAGGGTCAGCTACGAGTACTTGAGGAGGAGCTTGCCCAGAAACACAGTGACAATGTAAATGATATAGAGCGAAAATGGAAACTGGAAAAGGGGGCTTTTGAGAGGGAGAAATCTGAACTAGAGCTACGCTTCATGAACGAAATAGCAGAACTCGAGCAGAAATATAGAATAAGCATGTCAGAGGTTGAGCAAAAGTACTCCAGTGCGAATCGAGATTTGGAGAGATCAAAGAAAGAAATCGAGCTTCTTAAAGAAGAGCTGGCAAGCAAATACGAGGGTGATATCAATGAGTTGGAAAGAAAGTGGAACAAGGAAAAGGAAAGTATGGTTGCTGATTATGAAGATGAAAAGACGGATATTATAAAAACACACAAGAAGGAAATAAACGAGCTGAAAAAGTCGTTTAATCAGCAGCTGTTGGATTCGGAGAAGCATTATGTAAAGGAAATTTCAAATTTGAAGGATGAACACAAGAGAGAGAAGAAGGATATGGAACTCAAGTTTGCTCGCGATAAGAAAGAGTTAAGGGAAAGTATTGAGGCTGAACACGAGCACGAAATGGCTGTGAGAATATCAGATACGAGAAAGCAAGGGCTGCAAGAAAAATTGGATGTAGAAAAGGGCCTAAACGAGCAAAATAGAAAGTTGAGCCAGGAGTTGAAGCAAGCGAAAGTGAATTTCGAGAAAGAGATTCAAAAAGTTAAGTCAGAGATGGAGATTGGGTTTTTGGAGGAAAAGGCCAGGATTGAAGAACAGCTCTTTGTTGAAAAAGACGGTGTGGAGGACCGTTATAAAACAGAAATTGCAGATTTACAGAAAGCTTTTGAAGAACGAGAGGACGTATTGAAAGAGCAGATGAAGACTGAATTCGAGGCTATGATTGAGACCCAGCTGGTTGAGCTGGAGAAAAAATACGAAACCGAAAAAGAAGATTTGCAAGAGCATTTTGTGAGGGAAAAAGCAGAATTAGAACTGAGCTGGCAGGTTGAGAAGGCAGAAATGGAGGAGAATTTCGACACGGAAAAGGCTGAGATGGAGGAAGTGATGCAGAGGACCAAAGAAGAGTTATCTTTACGGTTTGGAAAACAGAAGGAGAAAATGGAACTTGATCATAAGAAGGAGTTGGGGATTTTGAAGAAGAAAACTGAAAGCGAATTAAATTCCAAAGTGGGCAGGGAGACTCAACTGCTTGAGAAAACTGTCGAACATTTGGAAAATGAACTTAACTCTTTGAAAGAACAGAAAAAAGAGTTAGAAACAAAAGTTCAGAGTTTGGAGTTAAAGCAACTAAGCCAGCTGCAAGATGCAAACGAAATAGGTGAATTTAAAAAAGAGAAATCTCTAATGCAGGCTAGAATAAAATCGTTAGAAACGGAGATTCAAATGACAAACAAGGAGAGAATCATTTTAGAAAAGCAAAACATCGATTTGAATCAGGAGAAGACGACAATTCTGGAAAACAGCGTTAAAGAAATAACGGATCAACAAGAACATCTTTATAAAACCGAAGCAGAGAAAAATCGCTTACATACACAGCTAGTGAATTTGAAAAAAGTTGAAACTGATTTGATAAACACGAGGGGAGAAAATTCTAAATTGCAAAAGCAAATCGTAGAGTGCCAGAAAGAGCTATCGGAGTTTGAAAAGGTATTGTTTTCGTATTTGTGGCTTAGTCTTAATGTATATGTGGCTTAGTCTTAATGCCACTAAAATTTTGAAATAAACGTAATGCCAAAGATATTTTGGTCTATCTAAGAGGTTAGGGTAACGTTGAAAGTGTTCTGTCTGGCCTTGTGATAAAGGGGAAATTCTCAACCGAATTTAGTAAGACTCTATAAAGCCTGATTACTATAATTACAATAAGGCTTGTAGGCCGAAATGGCCCATCGCCAACACAATGACTATAGTTACAAGTTAACAATAAATCTCAGAAAACAGCAAACAGCTACAAAAATAAACAGATGAAAAATTGATTATAAGCTAGAAAGTTTACGTTACGAAGATATGCACATAGAGGACTTCCCAATAGATTCCCGCGGTTCAAAAGCCAGCGATATAAAATTAGCTATTGATATCTATAAAAAATTTTCTCAACGAGTCTTCCTTTTGGCAGTTGCGATACGATCTAAAGAATCTTGAGAACACTGCGCGACAATTAGAGTCGAGAAACAGGAGCCTGGAGACCGAGAATCAAGAGAAAGACATCAGCCGCTCGAGAATGGAATCAGATTTGAAACACACGCAGGATAAATTGGAGAACATGGAAAATATCCACAAAAAAGAGTTAGAAGCACAGAAGGAAAGGGTAAGGCCTCGTTTATAAGAACTTCAAGTTCTTGAATATCATGTTAATAAAAAGAGGGGTTCGTACAAACATCTTCCATTGCTTTCCGGCCTCATTTCGGTCAAAGGAGCTGTCCGATCGCAATGTCACCTTCAGGGCTCGTTTTGCCAAGTTTTAGGCCGCCAGAATTGCATCTATATGTTGTGAAACTGGCACTCTCATTCACCTATTATTTGCAAAAGATATCTAACTATTCATACTTTTTCAATGGTAATCTTCATTACAGAAGATGTTCATGAAGTTTGATGTTTCATGGTTAATCATTATAATTCTGAGCCTCGTGAGTTTTAATGAATTCTCAAATTTAAGTATGCGATGTTACAGAGAAGTATCCAAGTTTCTGTTCTTTTCTAGCTAAATCTGACAACAACAGCAGCAGCTACAGAGAGATCAAGATATTTACGAGAAATTCAAGAAATAAGGGAACAGCTGAATCGCGCCACCGTAGCAAGCGACAGAGATCAAGCTCTGAAGGCTAAAGTGTTCAATGATGCAAAAGCGGAAGTCATTACTTTGAACAGAAAGGTGAAAGCTCGTTACTGTAATGGCCTAAGATTCTAGGACACACTGTGCTATAAATGCTATTTTGCGATGTATGTTTGAAGTGACCTGATTTGCTATTAACAGTTCATTGTGCAAAATAGCCAATCAAATTGCTGAAATCTTTCATCGCCGTTCGCGGTATTATGCAGTTGAAGCTCGACTGATAGCTATTAATAGCTATCCCATTCAACGAAATTGCCGCTTGCAAGTGTTCCCCTTTGAAAGCTTGCAGTAGAAGCTTTCTTACTATAAAATCGCCCCTTTTGAGAGTTAGGATTCTCTTAATGTCAGCTTTTGAACGCTTACTTTCCCCTTTCGTCCCCGATAATCTAGTTTTTGACAGTACTTATCTCTGATTTTAGCTCGAGGAAAAAGCACGTTACATAAAGGATTTAGAAAACCGCGAGAAAGGATGGGACGCTCAGATGGAGGAACTGAAGCAGGCGAAAAAGAATTTGGAAAATCTGCTGAAAGAAACGAAGGAATCATTGCATGAAAATAACGGAAAATTTAGTAAGGAGGTATGGTACCCCCCCCTCTATATCTTGTCATCTCATGCTGTCTTTTTGTTTCGCCATAGAAAGAGTATTTTGGTGCTAGATTCATGACTTTTGTCCTGTGATAAATTTCATACGGTAAGAATTTTTAATGGAACAAAATTGAGAGAACATGTACTTTTGCTGGATTTGAGCCCAATCTTAAAGAGCAGGTATGTCTGATAAATTATTGTTAAAGGATACCGACCCTTTAAATTTGAATCAATTATACTTTTTTGCTTCGTTTTTGTAACTGTCTTCGTTTTTTCTTTGAAGAAACACCTAATGGACGTCAAATCAACGCGATCCGATAATCTAGTTCAAGAGCTGTATATTGAAAATGCGAACCTTACAAAGCAACTTTATGAAGCAGACGCATCTCATCGAAAAACTGAAAAGCAACTGCGGCAGTTAGTAGATCAAAAGAAGGCACTGCAAAGAGTTATTTCAAAGCTTTGTGGGGCCCATTCTCTAACATGATTCCAGTCAATGAGACCGAAACAGGGATGTACGTACCAGTAGACATTTGTGATATTGTTTGGAAAAGTACACATCTCTAGTTTTCAAACAATTTTGACAATTTAAGGCCCGCAGAGTAGTTATCATTTGATGAGACTCATAATCCGAAACATGTTCAGGTTGCGATCAAGTGGTTCAGAAAGTAGGTTTTATTAAGATGCCCCTAAAATGCACTACCATCCCTAATTTTAAAAGCTCCCCACCTTCCAAACGGAAAGGATGCAAAGATGCCAGTAGCTTGACGCTAATCTGCTGAATACAAAATATTCCACCCTTTGCTACCAAGTACAGCATCATACCAAAGCCACTAAGTTTTCCTTTTTGTCACTCTGCGCTCGAAAAGCCTCTTAATTCAGCCTAATTTGATATTTTCATATACAGGTTAACATTATTCAATAGTTTTCTTGAAAACCCTTCAGTCATCGGCTGTGTTCTCATTGCCTGTGTTCTCGCCAGCTCTTTTGCAATCCAGTTTTTTGCTTAGCATTTCTGGTATCCTCGTGTTTGTTTTCTTCTGCTGGTCATTTCAAAGCCTCAATAAAAACCCTCGTATTATAAATCCAGATCGTGCTGTATTTTTATTTGTAAATATTCAAAAGTATTCCTGTTAGTCTTATTTTTAGTAAATCTATATTTTTATCTTTTATTAGTATATGTACGTTATTTTGGCTTTAGGTTCTGTAGATATTTTCGTATTGATTTTATTTTTCCAAAAATTTTTAGTTTTGTAGTCTTTTAGAAGTTTCGTTCTCTTTATTAATTTCTTGCTCTTTGCCGAATTTCTAAGAGGATTAATAGTAGTTTGCTAAAACAGGGCTATGTTCTTCTATTTTGAAAATTATATGCTCAAAATCGATTTCGAGCAAATCTGCTTTGAGGCCTGGGTAAAGATCTTTTTCAGGCTCGGGTCATCCTTCTTAAATCAACTGTTCGTCAGAATAGAAACAGAACTAAAATTGAAGAAAAAATACTTCAAACCACATACCCTACTTTTTGATCCCCAGCAGTTTGCTTTTCAGCAATCTTACGTAACGGGAAAAATGGCAGATGTAGGACTTGATGTTTTATTTTATTTTACCTTGATATATTCGTTATGATTTGTACAGACAGTAGCTATCAAGTTTGTGTTACAGCCTCAGTGCTCTGTAATGTATGTTTTAAGGTGAAAGATTATTAAACTGGCAGTCAGAAAATCTTTTTGTCTTATTTCTAAACAGCCTCTTTTTTCTGTGAATCGTTGCCCTGGGTATCAGAGCCTCATGGATCCGGGGATAACGAATTTGTAGATGATTATTTTTCTGCGATGACTATGTTTCGAACTGTAGTTCTGAGCCTAAATAATGGAGACTTCAGAGTCAGGGAAACGTCATGGCCCAACGACCAATCAAAAGTTTGGAGACTATAGAAAAATGAAAAATCCTATTGCCTTTGGGCTTTGAAAATGCAGTCAGACAAAAATATAAAAAATCGAATAATATTTATAAACCTCCTGTTTTTTAACATTAAATTTGTCACAGAAGTGTTTTGCATTGTAAAATTTAGGCGCAAACTTTTGATAATTTATATGTTTAAATTATGACACGCATTTGTTATCAATTGACAAAGAGTTGTTACTTTTTATCTGTCCCAAAAATATCTATAAATGAAAACAAGCTACAATTTTTAAAAATGTTTTGGAAAGACAGGAAAGGGGTTAAACTAGTCGAGTACCCCCAAATTACAGACCACGTCCATTTAAAACACATTAAGTACCCCCCGATTCCAGAGCACGTCCATTCAAAACACATTAAAAAAATGAGGTAGGTTTTATATAGTAAGACATGAAAAGGGGTTTCAAGTAAAGGGGTTAAAACTAGTCGAGTACCCCCAAATTCCAGACCACGTCCATTTAAATCACATTAAAAATGAGGAAGGTTTTATATAGTAAGATATGCTTGGCCGGAGGAAGATTAGCAACTTTTCTGGACTCTGGTACCCAGGGTAGTGAATTGCTAGCCAGCAAATACCGCAAATCCTAGAATTGGCCCCTCGGAAATTTTCCTCAAATGGGCACAAATGATAAACATTCGTTAGGGGCAACGTCATAATGCCGCTGCGAGGCTTCTGATCGGCGTCTTCGGTGGAGCACGGCTCGGTGTCACAAGTGACAACAAGAAAACCAGTTTCGATGATGGCCGGACGGTATCAAGAAAGGTATGGGGCTTTTTCTTCTATTTATCGTAGTCTTATTGAAAGTAAGCTAGTAATTTAGAAAGAAGAAAGAACCACTGCTTGAATATAGCCTCATGTTGCCAATCCAAATTAAGGCATTTTCAGTAACACGATGCAAACTTTATCTTCAATCCTGCACTTGAAATTCGCAGCTAAAAAGAAGACTGATGGACAAATTATTTCAGCGTTCTTTCGTCCATTTTAGTTCCCTCAGAAATTTTTTGGCTTTTTGAATCAGGACTTAATTCATTGAAAAGTCCAAGGCTGTTTTTTGTGTCCATCATTAAGTCCCACAACAAGGAAGGTCAAAGTACCGTACCAATGGCAGTAAACTTGGCACAAACGTAATTTACAAGAATCGTGGTGATGGAGCAATAGAAACATCACAAATAAACTGCTTATTTAAACAGCTTAGCCATTGATTTGAGGTTTCAAAGTAATTTATTCGGCTTTAACAGTTCTACCAAATAAGATCCAAAAGTTTCAACCTCATCTTGTCTTTATCACCATGAAAAACCTTAATTTAAATCAACATCAAGAAATCATCTTCTTTACTTTAGCTGAGTAGTTAAATCCATCTCAATGATATCAGCCCTTCCTTGAGTGAATCAACCCCTATTTTCAAAACATCAGTTTATGAACATCAAATTTATTTCCTGAATGCCACTCTTGAAAGACTTTCCTCATTAGAAGTACCCTCCTTTTTTTAAAAGAAACAAAGGTCCATGTTGAGTACTCCAGTTTCTTAATATTCTGAAAATTTCAATACTCATTGTTTCTTAAGAGTTTCTTAATTATGATGTCATGAATGATGTTATGAAATGTTTGTGACCAACTAAAAGTTAATAATACTGACAAAAATGAAATAATTAAGTTTCTTTACATTTGTATTTAAGATTGACTGATTAAGGAGGAGCTCTCTAAGTAGGTTAACTAATCAATAGTGCCCCTTCCATTAAAACAAGAAATCAACAATAAAAGGCTTTAAATTGAATACCAAGTCCAGTAACCAGAGACTACAACATAAGAATAAAATTGTTTCTTGAAAACATTGTGGTAACATTGAACACTGAAAGGTCATGCCTGCAAAAAGGCCTTAATATAGAATTTACAATGCCTGCCAAAAGTTTTGGAACACTGACGACAATTTCCAAGGTCAAAATCAATCATCCCCCTCTCCCCTACAGAACAATGTTGGTTTACTATCAAACAGGTTAGGATTTTAGGAAGCACTTTCTTTTGCGCTTCTTTTATGATATTTCTCTAAAGCATCAACATTGTTGTTGGAGGAATGGGGTGGAAGTAGTAATTGTTTTCATGAAAGGAATGAAAGATCTCAAATGCAGCGATAAATAGCCGGGTGCTCCACGTACTTTTGGCAGGCATTGTATGTATTGTGTGAATAAAGAAAAGGTCACAATAGCAGTCTGCTTGATGGACTCCAATGAGTTCTTGCGCCGAAAAATCTATGAAAATGTAGCAAATAAGAAACACCGCCATATGACAAGAATGAACAACAATAAATACACATAAATTAGTGAAGATTGATATTTCACCCCAGCATACAGGGCTTCATCAGAGCAAAAGATCTTCTAAATTTTTCATGTAATGCTAATAATGAAAAACAATATGAATTTTTTAGGGTTGCACTCTTAAATACAATTTTGTCCACACCAAAGATTGACATAAAGAAGTTACGGGAAATTTGTTTTGAGGGTAGGTAATCATGTTTGAAATTGTGTTTTTTCTCTTTCTGCAATTTGCCATATCCTACCAAAATGCATTTTGGTTGAACACCAAGAGCTTAGATTCAATAATTATGTTTTATTTTCCCTTTATCTTTATTATGTTTGTTTTATTTTTCAAACAGGCATTCCAGACAAGGCAGGATTTCGGTCTTTGTGTTGGAAGGTGACATATCTTATGTATTTCTTTACCTTGAATGAAAGAATGAATGTTGGCAACATTTCTTATAACTTAATGTTAAAAGTTGAATTGCAAATATTGAATAAACTAATCTTTTATTCACAGATCTTGTTGAACTATCTCCCACTAGACAGGTCAAAATGGAAGACATTTTTGGAGAAAGAAAGGTACAGTGCTTTTACTTTAAAGACCCACTGTCAGCCAACATGATGCTTCTATATTTTACAGGTTCTTCTCTTGTTTATCAACATTGTGCCTGCTCAATTTAGTAATTGAAAACCCTGTAAATTATAGAGAGGGTTCCTTGTCGATTGACAGTGGGCTTTTAAGACAAGCTGTCAACTATCATGCTTAAATTTTGATTTTCTGCTTACTTCAACCATATTAATTGCCAAATTTTGAAGTCTAACTAAGTTGCCAAACATAGAGGCACATTTGGAGTCAATTTTTTAGGGGAAGGCTAAAGACAGTATTTTTTGACAAATTCAAATGAAGTAGCAAAATTTCCAGGGCTGTAGCCCTGACCACTGCACCCCTGAATAGAACAGAAATTTAATTGGGCAAAAGGCTGTTGATAGCTTCCCTGTTATTCTCTCTGTTGATAGCTTCCATTCCTCAGCAGCGTGAAGCCAATTTTAGTCATAAATTCATTAGCATCCTTTCAACATTTTGTTGATCGTCTTTCATGGATATGATTACTTTTCTGGATAACATTAAGCTGATTGTTGTTGAAATTAAAAAGAATATAATGCTGTCACTGTTCTGGAAAATCTAACATAAGCAAAAAGTTAATATTTAAGGATATAATTTAATTAATGGTTTGGTAACATATGCATTTACTACTTTAAGATTTTGCAATATTTTGTAAATAAGATATTTTTTCTTTTTTGATGTTTACATTTTGCTCAACATGATGGTGAAAGAAACCACCCCATCCAGTTGCAATTTTGTTTTTTTAACCTAGGGCAAAGTATCAAAATTTTATAAGTGACATTATTGTTCAACCATCATCAAACAAGCTGAATGAAAGCGATCTTAGTTTGGACCATGTAAGTTTCCTTTAATAAATTATGCTTTTATTTAGAACTCACTGATATTTACTTGGTGGCCGAGAGGATTAAAGTCACATAATTATTTTGTACATAAATAATTTCTTATAATGGAATTTAAACTGAAATAAGGCAGTTTTGTAAATTTGAAGGTAGAAAGCAGTTGCTGAGTGATCAGAAACAAGAAACCTATCAAGCTGGCATTTTCCCCCTCTTGTTTATTTTGATCCCCATATGGATCCAGATTTCTGTTCAATTTATATTTAATACACAATGGATATGTTTTTTATACTGGGTTTTGTATTTTCCACTTGCCTGTGTGCTATTTTGCTTGTTTGAAGCCCTCAATGACATTTTGTGATAGTATAACAACATGATAATGGCACTAAAGACAATTAACTGAGATAGCCAGTTAAAGTACTGAGTTTGTGGATTTTAGTCCAAATTACATTGGTTTGGTGAGGAAAGAGCTGGTGCTCTTGTTGCCATATATCAGCCAATTTGTAACACATTTGGCTTATTTTGCACATTTAGGGGTACAGTTTAATCCTTGCAAGCTGAGTTGATGTGATTTTTAATTCCCATTCGCTTTACCTGTTTTATTCAAGTCAAAAGTGCTATAACATAAGATCGTGAAGGTCTGACTAGGCTTAATTCAACTTTTTACTGGTACACTTTGTGGTCATATGACTCAAATTTTTTAAAACTCCGAAGATACTATTTTATGACATCAATAGTTTGGCATTCTATTACACAGATTTTTCTGTTGCTCTATAATGTTTCAAAGTAAAGAAGCCTATACTTCTGTGTTTATATTAAATGTAAACACTATTCTATCATAGTTTGTTTTATTTTAACATTTTTAGCAACTAACAAACATTGACAGTTTATTTGTCTTTGAAAACTAATCTACTGTACTTCAATATGTTTAATATTTTGAAACAGCATTTTGTATCCATGGAAACAGGTTTCACTCTTAATGAATTCAATCAGTCAATATCTTGAACAGTGTTTATATTTTCTCTTTCTCTTCCCAATGAAACACACTCCATGTTTGTTTAATGTGAGATTGTTTTTGACACCTTTATAAAAACAGAATGAGAAGCATGTTTTCCATTATTTTCTTTACTTTCAGCCCTTAAATCTAGACCCAGAAAGTCAATGGCAGACATTTTTTAAAGATAATGAAGTGCTTCTTCAGATTGACAGAGATGTTAGGTAATTTTCTATTGTAAATGTGATTCTCGCTATGTGCCATGAAAAGCAAATACGTTTTGATAATAGACATTTTTAAAGGCTGAAATAAATCAAAACTTGAAGAATTATTATGAAAGCAAAGCTGAATACTTTGTTTTTTCTGATGGTTTTACAAGATTAGCTACAACGATCGTTACAGAAAATCATTTCAAAATAAATAGGCAGATTTATTCGATCATTTCCACTTGACATTGTCAACATAAGTTCTTCTCTTCGGGCTACCGCCGTCAGTGATGTTCAACCATTAATAAATCCAGTCAACTTTTCTTTTTTTCCAGGAGGCTTTGTCCAGATATCTCCTTCTTCCAGCACCCAACTGAGTACCCTGCATCTTATGTAGGAGGTGAGACATCCTGTACCAATACATGCTATAAATTAGTTTCAGCTGTCGTCAGCTAGATGTTCTATCTCTTCGTTGCTCACTTTTTGTATTAGCCACTTCTGCTTTTGTTTTGTTTGCATTCAACTTTAAGTACCGTGATTAATGTAGTTTTAAAGATATCGCCCCAAGAAGCAGTAGCTCTTTGATAAATATTCAGTTTTAGCCACAAAGATGTGTACGTTAAAATTAATTCCAGGTGAAAATTTCGCCGTTGCCTCAGCTTCACGTTTTATCAGTTATCTAAACATTTATAACGAAAATGTTTATGTTTGTAAATAAATTATGCATTTTATCTCATGCAGCGAATCTTTATTTGTTTAACCCACAAAATGTATAACTGTTGGATCGCCTTTTCTACCTCTCTGTCGTAGTATTTGCAAAAATGTGTTGCTATTGATGCATATCTAAAGCTAGTGTTATTGTGAAAGAATTCGGTGGTAAGGGGGGTTGATGTTAGGTACGAAATACTACGATTAGTTTCTAGATATTTGAAAATTTTGGACTATATATTGTGTATGGTATTGTTTTAGAATCGATCTGTATTTAGGTAGGTATCATTTGACTATGTACATTTTGTTACTCGCAAATTCCACTCTTAAACTCAGTATACAATCATTTTACACAGGAACTTACAAACCATGCGAAACACTGCGAAAAAGAGTGGAACAAGCCATTTTAGAGGCTTCAGAGATTGGTATGAGCAGACTTGGCGTGAAAAATGTGAGTTTGCCACTTAACTGTTTTACAGTCAATTACTGTTTAACTGGCCTGTCATAAAGAGCTTGAAACCGTATTGGCAAGGCTGTACACGCTTTTGTAGAACGGGACGGTTCTAAGTTGCAACTTCTAGTTTCACGCTTAATGCGATCATTAGACAACTGATCGTTTGAAAGTTGACGAGCTCTTATAAATGCTCCGAACTGGCTTTAGAGTCATCTTTTTAAAAAAATAGGCTGAAATGAAGACAAGAAAACAGGATAAGATCGACTCAAGTGGCTTTAGTGACCCGAAGTTACTATCTAATTAGTTACAGCAAATGTATCAGAATCCACAATCTGTAACGAATTTCTATCATTATTCATTAAGGCTGTTTACTGATTATCAACTAGAATATTTTAGGTCAACGTCAAGTCAATTGGATGTAATAAACGTATTTTTGGCGCTGGTCTTTTTAAAAGTATTAACGTTCGTCTCTGGAAGATTCTCTGATTTTAGAAATTATTTGAATTGCTAATTGTATGTGAATGAGCTGTATATATTATGCAAATATGCCTTTGTTCAATCCTTGCGCAAATCTCCATGTTTTTTGTAAAGGGGCTCCAGAATTGCTTCTTTATGCAAGGTCGGCATCAAGCCGTATTATAGCCAAGATTGATTTTATGATCGTTTAATTTCTTTATTGAAGGTTAAGAAGAAACGAGCGGAAGAATATGCTCTTCTGCCAGAAGGCCAAGAGGCTCATTGGGAGGTGAATACTCGTTAGAACTGCAATGTTATTTTTTAAAAATCAACCTCTGACATTGAAAGCAGATCGCCTTGAATGTGATTGGCTAGCACACTTCCAGCTGTCAATCAACGATATCCAACAATAACCGCTGAAGTTAACGGCCAATAACATTGTTAAGAGAACACAAAGGATATGCCTATCAAAGGCTATTTTTGATTGACAGTTTTGCAGCTAAGAGGGTACAATATGATGATCTCCTTAATCGGTGCCAGTTTGTTTGTTGATAATTCTGTTATGATTTCTACGTCTATAGTTAATTGTGAATAACTTTAGCATTTTGACTGTTATTGACAGCAAGACAAGCATAGGTTCTATGATAGTAGAAATTAGCGTCTAATAAAGTTTTAACAGTTATCAGTAACGGGTAATTTGTACTGTAGGTCGTCGAAAGAATGTTGTTTATTTATGCAAAGCTGAACCCTGGAGTCGGCTATGTTCAGGTAAGTTCTGTACTTGCTTTTTATTATTTACACATAATATATTTCACAGTATATCTTATCTTCAGTACCAGGTTCTGTCAGAAAAAAAACATTTTGTTTCTAAAGCAGCTTTCGGAAAATTTACTTTTGATTTGCCATGACCTGTAGATAAGAACCTTTTATAATTTGCAGGCTGAATTGGTTCCTTTTACGTGGGAACCTAATTCAAAATTTAGTCTGTTGGTTTTTAATTCATTTTGCTCTTATACGCGGGTATTAATTGTAGCATATCTACCATTCCCAACCTTCCTTCATATATGACGCATTTATAGTCTCGGCTACTTTTATTGTATGCATACATACATACATGGTTATTAAGAGTTTTCCCACAATATAGTTGTGGCTCTTCATCTCTTTTACAAATTTTATTGAAACTAAATTATCTAAATTTATTATAAATGGTACATTAGAAGAATTGGTTTAAAAATTATAATTCTGATAAAAAATTGTTAAAAATAATTTTAAAAGAATGTGGAAAGATTGCCAGTGTTTCTTATTTCGCTGGAAATTGGTTGAAGTTTTTACCAGCTTTATCTTGGGAAGTTCCAGTATCCACCTCTCTTTTAACAAGCACCTAACCTAAGAGTTCTTCCTTTCAACCCTCCATAAGCATAGAGTAAATCCCTCATTTTTCTCTTTGTGATTAAAAGACTTCCTCCCTGATAATAATCTCTTGTATGTTCACGTATAATGCTTACTGTAATATTAGTTTAATCTTCGTTCATACGTTTTTATGCACACAGGGTATGAACGAAGTGATAGGACCAATATACAATGTGTTAGCTTCAGATCCAAATAAAGAGTGGCAAGGTTAGTTATTTTCTTCAAACAAAGGATCATTCTGGGTTACAATAGGGTTTGCAATTAGTCACTAGGAATTTAATTTTAGTGTTTTTACAAGAATGTTACCAGCTGAGGTCCAGAAAAGTCAACGTTTACTAGAGAAGGAATTTAATTTCATTATTTGAGATGGATCAATAACTTAGATTGGTACGGAGATTCAAAATAGAATTTCGTTTCTTCAGGACTACCGTTGGACATTCCTGCCTTTTAAAAGTATCCATGAAATAAATCACGATTTAGTACTATGATTTGTAGAAACTAATACTCTTTATATATCAATATACGTCAGAAGATCGAATCAGCTAATTAACCAATGTAGTTCAGAATGTTGTGTTTCCGTAAGACTTGAGATAGACTTACCATGAAAAGCGGCCTTGTGCATAGGTGATAATTAGATATTACGGCGTTTCAAGTATTTTAGTTTCATATTCAGTCAGTTCAGTTTCATATTTTCTTAAATTCTCAACATACAATTTATATATCATTAATACAAAGAAATTATTAAACTAAACTACATAATAGTATAAATAAAAATATAGGACCAAATACTTGTATGATTTTAATTCTTAAAGGAGGAGATCTCTCAATAGGTAAACTAATCCTCGTGGAAACCAAAAGAAATTTTATGCAAGTCAGAATTACAGCCATTAACAGAAACAAATTGCATTCTATTAGAAAGATATGAGCTGAACCACTCTAGTGCACATCAACGAACACGTATTACATTGATCGGGTGTATTTGAGCTATAAGATACCCGAAACGTCGAAAATATGTCATGAACAAAGTCGCTTTTTACGTTCTGTCTATATCAAGGCATTTACTCCGACAAAGAGCTGGATGGACGTTCTGTATGTGACATTTAACTATTTTAATGCTACATTTCGACTTTGTTTTCCTTCCAGCTCATGCTGAAGCCGATGCATTCTTCTGTTTCGCCCATCTTATGGGGGAAATTAGGGACAATTTTTTGAAAACATTAGACGACTCTGCATGTGGAATCGGTAAGATCCAAACAGTTTTTTTCAAGCAGTTCATTTGTATGAAGTTTCTTTGTTCTTTTCAGTTAGCACTTTCATTAGAGAATTCGAACATACCTTTGATAATAGTTGCTCACCAATAATAGAGAACGATTTCCTTGCCATTTCTCTACACCCCCGGCTTTTTATACCCTGCAAGCAGAAATTTGCATGTCTTCTACACATCTCTATTTCTTTTTATATTTTATGTAGGAAACGTCATGTTACAGTTATTCCAATTTCTACAGTGCAGTGATCAAGAGCTATTTGAAGATTTGGTACGTATCCTGGTGTCGTGACAAGCCTCTTTACTTTTTTTGTTTGAAATGAACATTGTAATATTTTAAGGTCGTTACGTAAATGGCACTGCATTCAAAATTTTCTTATGAATTCTTATGTCCATTTTATTGCAGGAAAAGAAGAGTATAAAGCCTCAGTTTTTCGCATTTCGCTGGATTACGCTTCTTTTGTCCCAGGAATTTTCACTACCAGGTTTGTAAAATTGTTTTCCTTTTTCAAATTTAAAATACGAGGCTGCGAGAGCAAATGACCTAAGAACTTTCAGTTCAGTGACGGAAATTATGTACGTCTCCAGGAATAGATAACATATTTTATTGATTCTACGCATCATTGAATTCCTTCAAGTTAGCTATAAAAGATAGGACTGCATTTGTACAATTTATGATGACATTTTACAGTACTAGATATAAAACCTCACAGAGAACAGTTTACTAAATAGAGATTGGACTGAAATTCAACTGTTTTGACTGATGACCCATTGGGTGACAGCAAATTGGCTGAATGATTGCGCTATAATTTTGACTTATATGTTTTGAAAAGTGTTTCCCCTCTAGGGAAAATCTCAACTTGCAGCCCCATATTGAGATGTCTTATTTTCAAGCTTAAACGAAAACAGCTCTTGATTCTCATTAATTGCTAAATATTATTCAGGAGCAAAAAACAAGCTTAATTTTAATTAATCAGCCCATTTAACTGTGTCATGTTGCAAATTCCACTACTGATTCATTTATTGTCTTCTCAAAACTTAATTGAAGATGTCGGGACGTTTGTTTTCGTAGATGTCATCAGGCTCTGGGATTCACTGTTTTCAGATCTTGACAGGATCGATTTTATACTACATGTTTGCTGTGCAATGTTAATGTGAGTATAGACGTATATAAAATAAAGTATCTTCTTATAAAATTCAAACTATACTGCAAATCTCAAATGTCTTAAAAATACAATCTTTATATACGTGTAGGCTTTGCAGAGAGCAATATTGCATTCTGTTTTATATCCTATTTTGAATTTCATAAGTTTATAGTCCGAATTGTTTATAGCAATAATTATTACGTCTCTGTTTATAAAAATATTTCGACGGATATTTACGTTTCAAATAAACCCTCGCTCATCGTTCTTTTTTTCACTCGTTTTGTGATTAAAGTATTTCGTTTTTTGCTACCGAATTGACTATTTGGTGTCACGATGTAATGCCTTTATATCATTGTTAGACCGTGATACCATATTTTTCTCTTTTTTATCAACATTTTCACTTCGTTCTCTTTTTGCCAGTTTGATGAGACAAAGACTGTTAGATAGTGACTTCGCGTGGACAATGAAGCTTCTACAGGTATCATTCAATTTATAGCCGCCATTTTGATGGCACGGTATCCCATCAACCCTAGCGCTTCCCACCTTTCAGATCATCGTCATTTAAATCGACCTGTTTAAACATAAACTTTGCAAGACCTTAGATAAAGAGAGGCCAGGTTTTGAATGATATATTTTGACCTTAAACGTTGACGAACAACATCTTACAATTTAGAGCTGAGATATTCTCTAAAAACGTTGTATTCAATCTTTTAATAGTTATAGTAAGTCTTCATTCTTAACGCTGGCTTTTATGTTTTATATGGGTTTTGATTTCAAGATTTTTGTACTCTGAGAAGTTTGCAACTTTAAGGCAGTTTATAGAAGGTAGTGCAGCTTTGTGAAAGCCTGAAATATTTTAAATTCACATCAAAGATATTGGTTTTATAATATGTTCGCGTGCTTGATATGTAATTTTTTTCATTTTAGAATTTTCCAAGCGATGAATATGACATGGCGACAATTATTCGTAAGGCTGATGAACTGAGAAAGCCCTCGGCTACAACGACTGCGCCAACTGGAAAGGCCCAATCAAATCGAGGACTTAATTTGAAAAAGAGGTTAATGTTGTTTTAGTATACGAGTTAGCGTGTTTTTAGAGAAATCTTTGTTTTTATAGGGCTTTTACATTTTCACTTGTTGATCTGTTGGGGAACAGAGTGTAAGTTTTAAACATTTGTAGTCCATTTCTGTTTGCCAAATTATAAAAAGGTAAAAATTTTAGATGGTTGCAAAGTAGAAGGGCCTAGGCAACAAAACAAGCAAGTATTTCAGAACGTTACAAAATGCACAATTCAGTTTTGTTTTAACAGTTAATGAGAGTTTCTAGCTGCATTGAACCTTCTCTCTCAGCTAGATGTCTAATTCGTTTTTCTATCGTACATTCTTGAATAGACCCATTTTTTAAGAACCAGAAAGTTTCTCGCAAAGATAGTCATCACAAACTAGGCCACCCTCTTGCTGCAGCGTGCTTGTCGTTTCTTTTCGTAGTTAAAAAGCTACATTTTATAAAAGTTCACGTGATAAATTTTATCTTAATTGAGGAGTGTCGGAAGGGGTTATTCTCTCATCAAATATTTTTTTGGTTTGTTGTCGATTATTATTCGGGAAGAGACATTCAGCAGGATTCACTGTTTTGGCGCTAAATATTTTGGCCTAGGCTCCCAATGAGAATTTATAAATTTATTGATAGTTTTTTAAGATATAATATTTCTGGATCTGAACCTTTAAAAGTGTAATGCCAGGTTGTTAGAGGTTCACCCCTTTGTTGATACCTAAAGCTGACTGAATTCAACTTCTCTACGTTCTTTTATGAAATATTTTGCAAGATTCTCTTTTACCCCCATTTATCAGTTCACTGACAACAATATCATTTTTAACCCAAATCTTGACATCCTATCGGACTTTTTATATAAATTCCTTGGTCTCCCGGTCGTTCTTAAGTAAAAGGAGTCCCCAGTACGCAGATGCCAATGTGAAACAGCGTTGTAGATAACGTTTTCAGAAGTAACCCCTTCGCCATTTCTTGTTGTTGATTCATGTTGTAAATAGTATCATCAGAAACAAATTATGTTTCTAGCTGCATGTGAAAATATTTCTGTGTGATCTTTTTCAACGATCATAAGTAAATTTAGTTGTATAGCTACGGTTGTAAGAAATCTAATATAAATTGCGATAATCAATTTCATTATTCATGTTTTATGATATTTTTATATCCATTCACTGTTTATTGTTTTTGTTTGTTTCCTCCTCTTCAGCCACAGGGCTATAGTTTCATAACCTTGTTTGTTAAACGTAGAAAAAAATGGTTATGAATAGTTTATGTCATCTTCAAAGGATAGTTCTTGTCTGCTGTTATGCGCTAACATTTTTCGCCTGATATCTAATTTGAGAGAGAGTGTAGTGTTCTTTGTTTTTCCTTTGGTAATTCATATGTAAGTTGTCTTAGTTTTTCGTGATGCTACGGAGTAGTCATAGTATTTTGCACCCAGTGGCATCGTCCTTGTAGTATCGTTAAGTATTTTGTAGGTAGTGTAACTAGTAAATTTTTATTGTAAATTTTAATTGGAATGTAAAAAAAGGATAATTTCGGGACAGATACCCATTTTGAATAGACGGAGCCCAAGGTTTGCGCAAAAACATCACGAAATGGGTCATTGATAAAGGATAGAGACAGTTCTGGTACACTTGCGATGTATATTGCATTAGCCATAGGAATTTAAAAAGAAAATTAAGAAATATTTCATACTCTATGATTGTGTGTGTGTGATGACTGTGTGTTTAATATAGTATTTTGTTACGTTTTTCTGCTTTTATCATCATGGTGATCATTGACTTAGCATAGAAAACTTCAGGTTTCTTAGAACTTCATGAATAAAAAGTCATTTTTTACGGAAATCAAATTAGATGTGTAACAGTGTCCAACCCACTTTTCCAAAACGTTATTTTGGAAAATGTCCGCAGGGTAACTGCGTGCAATTTTGGACCTCTGCGAAGTACGCTTTGTTATTATGCAGTAGAAAGAGCGGGAGTTACATCAAAATGGCGAACGAGGGTGGAAAAGATAGCGTGGCGATGAATAAGAAGGATAAGGAAATAGTGGAGCAGTTTTGCATGCTTTTGGCTAAATCAACAAGCTTATTTGAAGGACTAAGGTACCATGTTTTCTTGACTTCGTCAATGGTTACTTCTACTGCTTAGCGTTGACATGATGGACGTTCTTGAACATATAACATGACATGACTCTCTCTAAACCGCCTGTCCAGTTGGCAAAGCAACTACATCTAAAGATATGCCTATACAAAGAATACACCTACTGAATGTTTAATGTCAATTTTATGAACTAAGTACTTGATAAACCTCCCAAATAGTGTTTAAATTTTGTTCCCTTTGCGGGAGGCCGAACTGAGCCAACAGCCACACCTCCATTATTTGTGGCCTAAAAAAAATATAAGCGTAAGCAGCGCATATAATTCAGTTTTCTTGTAATGAAGTTCAAGGAACTCTTTGATCCTGATGCAACCTCTTCAACCCCTTTTCCAAAATCTTGTTTACTTGCTATAGGTCTAAACCGTGTTGACTTCTTTTGCCAACCAACAAAAGTTGATTGTAAGTAAAAGAACAATCAATCAAAAAAGCATTTGGTAAGCAAATTTAAGTTGCAGATTTGATTAAAAGCTTGAAATCCAATTGCTAGCTGACTTGCAAAGTTGACTTCAATTTATGAAAGAAAACTGTGAAGATTAAATTTTCAAAAAAATCTGGTATCTGTTGAACTTGGTTCCCACTAGGCCACAAAGTGCGTTCATCTTTAACCCTTTAATTGAATTAAAGATAACAGATAAACTTCCCAGGCATCCCCACTTGCAAAATATAAACACTTTCACTAGCTGTAGGAAGACCTGCTAAAATGAGGTGTGGAGCCTTGATTAATAAAATTGGCAAATTTGTTGAACATTTCACGTCTTAGTATGCTTCAAGTTTTGGAAGGCAAAGTCGAAAAAAAGTTCTAGTCTGTGAAATTTATAGAAAAAATGAGAACTTGGTTTTTTTGAAACACTGTTTGACATACCCAAGAGCGAAAGAGAATATTGTTTTGGTATTTGCGTATGAGTTCATGAGATTCAATCTCTTTTGCTAGACCTTGCATGCAAGGGGTGGATCCAGAGCAAATTTGAAGAAGGAGCAGTTGGTAGTAGGGGCGCTGGAAAATTTTCAGAAATTTTGTGACAAGAGTACGCTGTATACAACAATTTCACACCCTAACTACTGACAGAAGGCTTTCTATTCATGTTCTAAAAAAATTGACACAATTATTGTGTCAAAACAATAATATATGGTCTGGGCATTACTGAAGGTCTTCTATTACAATTTATGAGCACAACTGAAGGTCTCTCATAAGAATTTATCTCTTAAAAGATAAATGTTCCGGCAGAATATTTGCTGCTCCAACATAGTAGCTTCAGCTCTGCTAGAGTATTCTGCAAAAGGGGCTGACTTGAATGCTTTTTCATTTCCGAGATATCAAATTTTGGGGGGCACAAAAACTTGCTGCTTTTGGTTTAATTTTCAATTGGAGTATGGCTGTATGGTAGCTAATAAGACAGTACTTTAATCAAGGCATCTAAAATACAATAGTACCTCATTATTGCAAAAGGTAAGATTGATTATGCAGGGTTTTTTGAGCATTCAAGTACATTCATCTCCTCCAAGTTAAACGCCCAGAGCATTCCCACTTCAAGTGGATCCACTTCAAGATAACAAAGAAGTATAGCAGTTTTTTCAAAAAACTTTGTGAAACCAATTACCTGATCTTTCGAAATATATACATATCTGAAGAGCCTGAAGGATTTGTCAGTGTCTAACTTTAGGCAAAATAGAACAATTTTAGTTTTTATCTAGGTATACTCAATCAGGGTGACATGATACTACTCTATATCTTATCCATGCTTCCTTTATGAAGGTGATTTTAATGCTAGATGTTTATCCCTTATCATTTTTCTAGTTTCCATTCCTTCATTCCTTGCTTTTGATGACTTAATCTTAGAGCACTCTTTGTGGGAGAATTTGAAGCTTGCATAGTACTTTTTTTAAGAAATGAATGGTTCTAAGTTGTTTTTTTATTTTGCAGAGATCTGCCCCAATTTTGCCACAGTCACTGGCAGTCTCATTTTGGAAAAGCATTTGATGTATACACCAAGGTAATTGTCTATGCACATATTTAAGACATACTTTCATTTCAGTGTTTTATCTGTTCTGTTGAAGCTATGAAACATGCAAAATGTGGCCTAAACAAAATTTATGCAAAATTTCAAAATGATGTTCAGAACCACCCTTTGAATCTATAACTCCCTACACCCTTGACAAAGAGTTTTGTGAACATTCCTCTTTTTGAAAAATCCTATTCAAAACCTATTTACATCTTGAAAAACCAAGATCATATGCATCATAGGCCAGAGAAACAACTTCTTCATGGGAACTCACATGGATACAAAGCAACTATCAACACTTTTGAATTTTTTATGCAACTGAACACAGGCAAAACAAGTAACATGAAAACTGAACATGTAATCCAGCAAACATTAAATTAAAAGTAAACATGATTCATTACAGTCTAATTATTCTACCCACATTTTTGAGCAGTTTAGTTTCTTGTTTTGGGCTTATTGTATGCTTGTTGCACCAACATCATTTACCTGACAATCCCACTCTAGTGAATAGTTACTTTGGCACTCCCTTCATTGAGAAAGGGTTTTTATGATTTTAAAGTTTGGCTGATTTCTCATTATAAGCCAAATAAATAAAAGAAAATTCATTCTTGTCTTTATCTAGCTTCCAAAAGTTAATCATTATTAACATTGTGACAATGTGCCACTTTGGAAAGAAATCAATTATAAAGAAAGAAAATACATATTTTTTAATGGAGCTTACATTCTGGGTTCTGTAATGATCAGGTCATAATGTCAATATTTATTATTTTGTAATTACATGCTTTGCAAGTTGCCAAAATTTGCCTGCTATTCATACCTGAAAGGGTGAATAAGTTCTCTTTTTTGTAGTTATGGAAATTCCAACAAGAACACAGGTAACTGAGCAATCATTTTGCTATGAATAAATTCCTTACATACTTTCTTGAAAATATACAACATGATCTTTTTTATCTATTGTCAATGGAGTGGGCAGTCTGCAAGGTGAAGAAGAAGAGGGTTCATTTTTTGGCATCTTGATTTTTACTTTTCTTAACTTTTCAATATTGGTGATGATTATTTCAACTTTTTCTTAGAGCTATACTGGACCAAAATTACAATCTCAAACGATGGCAGATTGGTGAAATTGCATCAAAGATTGGACAACTTTACTATCATTATTAGTAGGTTCAGAAATTATTTTTGTCAAATATAAATAAAGATTTATATAATGCTGTTTCCACGGCCATTTTTGCATACACTCACTTAAAAGCAATTCCATACTGCTATCAAATTGTTTAAGAAGGCTTTTTATTGACTTAAATTCTTTTCAAATCTATTGACCTTTATAGGGTTTATTTGCTATTTAAATTTATATAGTTTTTAGTTGTTTAGGGCTGTTAGCGTTGAAACCATTGTTAGCTATTAATTTTTGCTAATTGTTCAACTTGTATAATCATTTATTTTATATGGTTTTATCTTTTTTCGCAGCCTGAGAACCAGTGAAGCCAACTACCTTTTTGAGGCGTTTCAGTTCTATTCTGCTATCAGAACTCGTAATTATTTCAATCATGGGGGAAAAGATGAAGAGTAAGAATCATTAATATTTCCAACATTTCCATATTCCTTTTTTCAATCATCTTACCATAAAGAGGGAAAGATATCCATATGAATCCATTCTGTTATCATGGTTTAATTTAAAGCTAAAGAATACTGTTTTTTAATGATTTGCATCTCAGTCATGTGTAAAGCCGAAAACCCACTCTGGAAAACGATCCGGGAATCGGATCAGATCGTGTTATTCTGATCAGGCCGTTCGATCCGCAGATCGATTCAGATTGGTATTCATGACGCAAGTGCTCTATTGTTTAAAATGTTCTAATTCGATTTTGATCAAAAGAAAACTACGGTACCAGAACGGTTAAAAAAAAGTTGAAATGATTTCAACTTTTTTTTCGATCCGTTTCGATCCGTCGCGGATCAGTCATGTGATCATTATCGCATCCAGAGCGTGTGCGCAACAGGAAATCTGATTCAATTCGCGGATCATTTTCCGGAGTGAATTTTCGGCTTAACAAGCCCCAGGAGCTTCTTTTTCACTGAGGATAGTGGGTAAAAATGGCAGGGGACATGAAAATATGTTTTACTGGCAGAGGATAAGTGAAATTTGCAATCTTGTTGGCAGCACTCAGGGTCAATTGAGAAAAGGAGTAAATTAGGTCGAAATAGGTAGTTTTTTTTATATCTAAAAGGCTAGCCCTATTTTTACGCTGTGTCAAGGTGGGAGGATACTGGTAGGGGAAATAATATCTTAGTGTGCAGAGGAAATGGGGAACTGGAAAAGTGCCTAGTCATTTGATTTTCCAAAAGGGGACTCTGTCAGGTAATTTTAACTGGAAATTGTTTTCACAGGGGTATCAATTAGTTGGTTATCATTTATAAAACTTATGTTATTTCTTCAATTATCTTATTTATTCAGGATAATTTCTGTTTTGTTCATTTTATTGATTTTTGATATAACTATTTGTTACATGAAGGAGATAGTTTTTGAGGTTGAGCATAGCCTCTTTAAGAGACTTTAGCTTGGGGGCTAAGCCTTTTTTATGACAATGAAAATAATTGTTTATTGTCTTAAAATAAGTGGGTCAGCAAGGAACTTTTGTGGTAATTTCCTCCTAATAAGTATACTAAACTTCCCTAAGTGGATAATGCTTTTATGATTTTTTAGTATCACCATCGTTTTGAAAATTTTTCTTGGTCACTAGAAATAATTCGCTGTATTGTTCATTTTTTTTGCTTTAGATCAAGCTTGCTTCCTAAAAAGCTGAGGTATTATGCAAGATTTTTAGTTGTCTGTCTGTTAATGAATGAGACCAACCTTATCAGAGACCTCACCAAGGTAAGTTGGAAGTTGAGTCATTTTTGTAAATTTCCTAGGTTGTGCCTATTTGATTAAAATCGAAACGATTGATTTTAAAGGGAAGTTAATAAGTGGGGTTTTGTTAGAGGCAGTAAGATAACTGGGAGATCACTACTTTGAACTGTGAATCGATTGTGATATTGGAAGTAAGACATCTAGAAGTTAAAAAGTTAGGAAGAATTTTAAAGACGTTGGAAGTATTGTCTTGTGAGTTCTGGCATGCTAGAAATTCAAGCAGATAAGCACATTCCTCAAACTGCCACCTAGGCAATCTCATGTACAGCGAGCAAGTCTCCAGAAATAAATACCAACTGACCTCTAAAAGGGTATTTTGTTTGAAAACAAAGATAGTATCTTGTGCTTTTGTCAAGGTTTTTTAACACAATCTTTAGGGGGCAAGTTTTCCTTCTATCCCTGTTGACCTTCCTCATTTGAAACCTCGGGTTTTTACCACCCTTTATTTAGGAAAAAGGCTTGGCCCCTCAAATGATTTCTTTAAGTACTAGCAATAAATTTGCTTGTTTCAAGAGAATGTTTGTAACTCAAAGGCCCATGTTAAGTTTGATTTATGAAAGCACGCTACCTTCGCATGTTTACTCAATCTATATACCAGTATCTTTTCGCAACTATTTTCTGGTTTCAATTGCCTAACATTTTTTGATAATTCAATGTAGGAACTGAAGCGTCTGGTCAATGATTATACAAACAGTGAGAATGCTGCTGATCACATTGAGTGGCAACTTGTGTTAAAAGAAATTGTTTCTTTTGTTGAGGTAAGATCGTCTTGTGAAAGTGAAATTTGATGCATTGTCCGCATTTTCTTGGTTGACTTTCCAAAATAATATTCAAATCACTAAAGTAGCATAGAAATTATACTTAGGTAACTCGGTACATTTATAAACCTTAATTACAAAACACACAAGCAAGATAAAAAATTCTAAGAAAAATTTTTGATCGTGTATGTGTGTTTTTTAATTATGGTTTATAAATGTACCGAGTTATCTAAGTATAATTTGTCATACAACACACGGGATCGCTTAAAATCCTTGGCCAAAAAAGCCAGTGACCGAGAGGATAGAAATTGATTTCTGTTTTGATTTTTGATCGAGAAATCTGTTTTGAAAATATGGTTGGCTGAAAGTTCTCGAGAAGGGCTGTTTGTATTGTATCCGAACGAGGATGTCATTACTCAAAATTAATCAATGTTGAAGATTTCTTTTGTCTTGTATTATTTCATATTCAGACGTCATAAAAGCAATTTATTAGTATTTTCAAGGGCAATGATTTTTGAAAAAGGTAGTTAATGAAAAAGGTATGGACCTCCACGAGGGTATGGGCCCCTGTGAGGGTGTGGACTTCTGGCCCCTGTGAGGGTGTGGACTTCTGCGATGGTATGGGCCCCTGTGAGGGTGTGGGCCCCTGTGAGGGTGTGGGCTTCTGCGATGGTATGGGCCCCTGCGATGGTATGGGCCCCTGTGAGGGTGTGGGCCCCTGTGAGGGTGTGGGCTTCTGCGATGGTATGGGCCCCTGCGATGGGATGGGCCCCTGTGAGGGTGTGGGCCCCTGTGAGGGTTTGGGCTTCTGCGATGGTATGGGCCTCTGCTAGAGCAAAATAATACACAGAACGGTAGTTCTCCGTTTTAACTTGGTAAGAGCTTACCGTTCGATATGTCGCTTTGTAAGTAGACTGTACTTTGAATTGTATAGATTATTTAATGTTAGTTTTTACAAAAGTGAACGTACAGTGAAGCGCGCTTGTTTTCAAGGAACCAAGTTTTGATCAAATTCTTGAATTGTCTAGAATTTTGTGATGTCTTTATTTATTCTAGAAGTCAATCCCAGATTTTAGGCCCTTGGAAACTTAATGATCTGAGACCATTATTCGTAATTCTTGCTTTTTGAATGTCAAGGGGATTTTGGGTCGAAGGTTATGACCTGTTGTGTGGGTACAAAATAGTCTTTCATGAAAAAAGGATTAAGGTTGTTAAGTGTTTAGTTGTTAAGTTGTTAAGTTGTTGTTAACTCTGATTGATCGAAGGAATTATTTATTGTGAAAATTAAAGCCTTCATTGTATATTCTTCACTTTCTCCACTTTTTATCGCCAGTCTTTGATTGCAATTTTAAAATCTTGTTTAAAATTTTGCTGGAAAATGCATCAAAAGTGGAACAAATGATGATGAATAAACTGTTGAGAGAACTGAAATCTAATGCGTATTAAGGCCACAATAAAATTGTTTTCATCACTGCATCCCGGTTTGCACTAAATTCCTTTATACCTTTGGAACCGTTAAATTTGAAAATAACACGAAAGAGCGTAGACATATCAAAATACTAAAGTACTTTTTGCCGGACAGTCCTCAGAGTATAAACGTCAAATCATGTCCATAGGTAAGCAGAATATTTGTATCCGGATATGGATCGAAAGTATCGCGAGAGAAAGAAAAGCGTGTTTGATTGTTTTCTTTGTTTTTCTTTATCTTATTTCACGATTTTGCTTTGCATTTAGACAACCTTCTGTTTCTTCACAGGCTGATAATGTGTTAACAGTGCTGGAAGAAGATCTGACACCTGTAAGAATCAAACACCGTGTCGTATTTGAGGTGTGTAATATAACTTCAATGATACCTTCGTCATTAAGACACGTTGCATATTTCAATTCAGGAAATTCTGTAGTGGTAATAGAGTAGTTCGAGCCTGAGTCATGTTCAATCTTAGGCTGTTTTATCTTTTACAGTTTTTTTAATTTTGCACAATTATGCACATTTTTTCGCTGTTTTAATCGGAACTGTGGCAATGCAATGGATACCACTGGAGCCCTTCAATGTAGGAAGATTTTTGCAGCCCTGAAAAATTCCTCCTTTTGGTTTTCCCCCAGTTTTTGTATATTTTTCTCAGTGCAGCTTTTGATAAAAGCATTTTTGTAAAGCCCTGCAAAATCAGATTATAACATGGGGGTATTCTAAAAGCTGGACCATGGCTTTTGAAATTTTTTTCTGAGACACCCCCTATGTAAAAATCTTTTCTTGCGGCACTCTTTTTTCTCTACACTATACTTCCTTGTTTATTTCCCAGAGAATCCCGGGTACTTTTGCTACAGAGTCACCAGCCATGAAGCTAAAAGAAGTTATCATCGTTGGAAATTGTGAAAAACAAGTATGCAAGTTACTTAATTGATAGATATTTTCTTTGTCGTTCTTTCTTACGCAGTTCCCAAATGAGAAATGTAGCCTTCACTGGCATAACCTTGGTTTTTGTAAGGGATGTGAAGTTGAAGTGCTGTGTATTAAATTCTGAAATTTGAAATAAGTAAAGCATTATTATTATTACCTTAACAATCTTTATTTTATGAAAGATTAATTACTAAAAAAAGAATTTTCTAGCCACTTCTTGCGTAATCATTCTCCAAAAAAAATTGTTTGTTGCTACAGATCTAAAAATGGCTTTGAAATAATTCCGTTTTTGTCTGAAACGAGTATAGACGTCAGAACACAGATCGAATACTCTAAGCTAGGAAACATATATTGTCAGTCATGGATGGAAATAGGCCATCAGAAACGCAAACACATGCCCAACCAGTGATTATTGCCTATAGTATATATTACCATTGGGCCCAATGGTGAAAACGAACTCCTTCTGTCTACACTTAAGCGGTCTTTCATCTTTATATAAATGTATCCTAAAACTGCTCGACGGAATGATAACTGGGCTGTAAAGCACCTTGTAGTTAAGGTATCGAGGGCTGTGTCTGCATACGTGCGCCATCTAGTTACGCCGCTGGAGCTATAAGCTTTACGCATAAGCGTAAAAGTAACGTGAAAATTGATTCCTGAAAACGTGAAAATGGTTATTTAACGAGGAAAATATGCCCCCTATCTTTTTTTGTCTTGAGATACCAATATTGAATTAAGGCTATTGCACAGGCTATTGCACAAGCTATTGTGATTTAATTCTTCTCTTGGAGTAGAATGGCAAAATTATGCTGTGTTTTGTTATTATATTTGGCACGAAAACGTTGAAATTCGACACATCCTGCATGTTTGTTGCTTTATTGGCATATGATGTTGCTTTATATAGAAGCTGTTCTTCGGGGACGGATTAAAGCGCCAATGGTTCGATGATAATTGGACTTTGGCGCCACACCCTTCAAATTCTGTTTTAAACTTTTCGATAGAAAAGATAAATTAAAATCTTGGCGTTAATTGATTACTGCTGAATACCGAAAATAATGTTTACGGATTGGAAGCAAAAGTTGCCGAAGGACACAAAATATAGGGGTGTCGCACCCTCTACACCCCCCCCCTCTGGTAGATCCGTCCCTGTTGTTCATTTCTATTTTCAGCTATGCTTTGCATGGAAATAATGTATCTTTGATTTAAAAAAATTAAAGATAAGCTTTCTTTATTTTAGGTCAATGCAGCTAATGTTAGATTAATTGTTTTTCAGACCAAATTCAGTGAACTCACCCTTGACATGTTTCGATTTTTGCAATGCGTCGAAAGAGAGCCTAGCAGTTTGCAAAGCTACTCCATGAAGGTCTCAAGCAGTGGGCCTGTTTCTGAGCCGGTACGGGTGACGCCAGTAGAGATAGGAAAATTAACATATATCTTTGTTTCTATTGATCAACCACCACTTAATGCAGTGAAAAAGTTGATAGCTATTTTTACATCGATAGACATAACTAAGGATGGTGCCCAAAGTAAGTGTTCTTAAGAAAATCCCAGTTTCAATTTCTGGTTGCAATACTCTTATTATTGCAATACTGCAATACATGGGCCCCGATACAGGTTCGAATGGAGGGGGGGGGGAGGAGAGGGCAAGAAAAAATTTAACAACCATAACAAAAATCTATTGTTTTACAGAAAAGTGGGAGGTCCATGGCCCCCTGAGTGGCCCACCATCGTCGGAGGCCCTGGCCAAGAGGGGTGTTCTCTTGAGGTGTTTGCGGGGGCTGTTAGAGTTAGGTTACAACTATAGACCGACTGTGTTGAGATTTGAACCCTTCCCCCAGTTAGACGCTGATATCTCAATTATTAAAGTAATTTTGTTCCAACTTTGAATGGATGGAATGTGGCAGACTTTGAACTATATCGTTATGCTGTCTGGTATATGTTTGTAATTTTTTTCTCATTATCTGTGTCCAGTATTTAACATTTCTCAATTTCACAATCAAAAGAAGAATATATTTTCCCAATCGCCATTCTTAAGATCTTTTCAGCTCTTTACCAGTACTCCAGCAGCCTTTTTTGTGATGCACTGTGCCACTTAAAATTCCAGAAACTGTCTCCATGTTTTAATCTTTCTATACGAGGAAATGGAAATCTTTGGTTTCATTTTAGGTAGATGACACAGATAAAATAAGGCACAATCCCCACAAATATCTTCTTTACAAACCTTCTTTCGGCCAGCTGATAACTTTCCTAGGTGCTGCTTTCAAGGTTTGTTGTTTATGTTTTTACCTTACCATAACCAAATATTTAGTTCGTTTATGGCTGGATAATCACTAACCAGTTATTTTAAAGGATGAATTTAGATAAGAAAGATAAATAAGCAGAAACAAGGAAAAGTTAAACTGAAACTTGAGCTATGAATAATAAGGTTGGTATACCGTAAATACTCGAAATACCTGGGGGCTTATTTATTTGTGATATTTTTGGATGGGGGCTTATTCGAGGGGGGGGGGCTCATACGAGAGGGGGGGCTTACAAAATTATTGTAGACATTAAGAAGACATTATTAAAAGATCCCGTTTATTTTAGTAGGAATTCCTTTATGAGCATTTAATTAATAACTACCAAAAGTATGAATTTGTTGTGGCAATTCAATAAAACGCCATAGGCAACCTCAGATGGCAAAAACCGTCAAATTGATGGGTCTAACTCGAGAATATACAGTAGCAGTGGGGGCTTATTTTGAGGGGGGGGGGCTAATTGACAATTTGTAGTTCTAGGGTAAGGGCCTATTCGAGGGGGGCCTTTTTCGAGAGGGGGGCCAATTCGAGGATTTACGGTAATTGAATTTGAACTGCTATGAGAACTCCAAATTAGAAAATTTGAACTTTAACTGAAGAGGGGTCATTTAAGAAGCTCATGTTTGTTGGGGATGCAAAACTGTTCATCACATTTCATGATTTATATTTTTCAAAAATGGCTTAAACCTTTTTTTATTTACTTTTGATCCTTAGCAATCTATTCTTTTAATAAAATATGCAAAAGATCAGACAGAAACTCTTTAATTTTTTAAAAAAATTTTCAGCACTCCACTCGTCCAGTTTTCTCTCTTGTCTAAACGTATGCAAGGAACTGACTGTCTTACACAGGAAAATGTGCCCACAGACAACCCCCCTTCGTATTTAAGATAAGTGTTCTAGTTACAAGTTTTCTGGACAAAGAAATATCGACTGAACAAAGGCTGTGCGACAAGCATTACAACTTCAAAACCGTTTGAACAACGATGAATAATTTTGACCACCTTTGAAATTGTTCAGTCCAACTGCTTTAAGCGTGGTACTTCCAATTTTAGTGAAATCTGAATTTGTTGGCAACCATCCTTTAATTGTCTCTGTTGGGTATTTTGTCATACCTTACACAGTTGGCTTTGTGTTTTAGGATCTTCCTGGCAACAGCATCATGCTGCTTTATATTTCTGCTGATGCTACATTCGATGCCAAAAGTGGCCAGGAAGAAGGTAATTCTCATTTGTATATGTTAAGATAGAAATTTCTCCAAGCTCTATTATAGCACAGGGAGAATTATACAAGTCACGGCAAATTTTAGCTTTCTTTCTCTGGTTTCTTTTGTTTTATTTTAAGGTTGACCAATGAAGTAGGGTTGACGCCTTCAGCATAAAGTATTATAGCCTCCTTCAAAAACTACGGAACAGCCTCATTGTGAAAGGTTATCCTTCAATCTTTTTCCAATCCTAGGTTTCTATGAAACTGGGGGCGTCTGCACCAAGAAAGCAAAGTCCACCCCAACAAAAAGAAGTGGAAGGATCAAAGAAAGCAATTGGTAGGCTTCGTTTTGCTGTACCTCGTGTTTTCGGCGAACACTAGGAATTCGGACATCATGTTTTGCTGGAGGTCATATTCTTAGGAGAGCGTTCCCTCACTCTAGGCGACAACTACTCTACCAGCCTGTTCTGTTGTATTTGAGAGCTAAAATGTTTTTTATTCATAAAACTGCCTTGTACCCCCCAAAAAGACACTTTCCTTAAAAAGGCTTAGTTCGAGACTGTGGTGCTTGAAAATCGCATTTGTTATGGACTCTTAGAGGGAACAAAACTTTGTTGAAGAGATGGGAAGCAAATTGCAAAATAGGCCAATTAATTTTATCTTTCCTAGGGTTTTCAGCAAAATATAAATACAAGGATTAAGTAATTAAAATACCTGTTTACCATGTTGTCATGAAGTGATTATAGGCAGAGCTTTACACAACTTGGTGTATTGAACATGGCTAAGCTATTTTCTCAACGGTTGTTCTTATACCTGGTTATTATATTCCTGGAAGTAGGGTTTATTATGTTTTTGACAAGAATTAAGTATTTTTATGTCACAACCATTTGTTGTTCTTTCAGATATTTTCTCCTATGTAGATCAATGGCTAGTTTTCCAGTTGCCATGTTTCAGTTTTAGTTAATATTGTAACGCAATTCTGTTCTAGTCTGTACCCTGAAGATGTGATGCCGTTTACAAGAAAACCATTAATGCTTATCGTGGACAGTCCAAACAGCATAGCCTTTAGACATATTCCTAAGCTTTTCGGGCAGCCTGTTGTGTGCTTGATGTCACCTATAGAAACAACTGAGGCATTTTCAGGTAGGACTTATCCTAATCATAATTCCTTCATTGATTTTAGTTATATCAACTGAGCTTTGGCCTGGAACCCTGGTGTTCTGTGCTGCTGGTGCCCCCTCCCCTTACGGCAATAAAAGCAAAGTGCCCCTCCCCTTACGTCATATCAGACCCCTGTTATCGAGGAGTTTCAGGAGTTGAAAGTACAAGAAAAGACGCTGTCAGGGGGGCAGGCGGGGGCGGGTGGGGGAGGGAGTCAACAGTTTATTTTGCCCTTTGATAGGAGGGGCAACGGGGGCCAAAGTGCCTTTTTCGTAAGAGTACCCTTGACATTTGCCTTTTGTAACCCTTGAGATTCCATATGCCTACAAGAAATCGAAATAAATGAGAGCTACGAAAGATTTAGTAGATTCTGGTAATTGTTTTTAATGTTTTTTTAATGGAGCCTGCCCCCCTCGCCCCTTGGTCGCCACGGCGTCCCTGGAATTTGTCTGGGTAAAAGTGACCTTTATCTTGTTCGTTTGTATTCGTTGATTGGTTTTATATATTCGTCCATCAAATGGCTAGGTTTGATATTATCACAATTTGGGAAGAATTTCTACAATGCTTAAAGTATGAGTTAAGTGACGAATGGGGAGGCTGATTCCATGCAATGACCAAAACAATGTTTTCTTTTTACAGATCAAAAGAACGGTGGGCTGTTCACCCTGTTTCTTCACGACCCCCTTTTGGCGTTCTGCACCATTTGTAATGCAAAAAACTTACGTCTGGAAATCTGGAACAAATGCCAAAGTTTCTTAGATAAAATATTTTCGGAAATCCTCGAGATTCTCTATTCTCTTTTAAAGGAGATAGGTATGTTTGCTTTTAATGTTTTTAGATTTAATAACGCTGTATTTCTTTGTTTTTTCGCTTTGCGAATTGTCATCTTAAGTATATTTTTGGCTACCTCAGGGTAGTCAACCCACAAGCAAAAGGGGATCAGCTACTTCATGGGACTGTCCCTTTAACTGTCAAATGGAATGAGATAAACAAGGAAAATTTGCTTGTCAATTATCAACAATATTGTTATAGTCATTGCCTTTGCCTCAAATAACTTCTTTACACCCTCAATGACTAGAATAAAAGGAATGCATCTTCAAAAAGTCCAAGCTCCAAAATTAGGATAGAGCTTTTGAAAAATTGTTAAAACTGAAGTCAGTTTGCTTCATAAAACATCTTTAACCTTTTGATGAATTGACTTCGATTTTTTTTACAAACATTTCTTAATGGTATTTTTGAATGAGCCTATTACAGTTTTGGCAAGCCAAGAATGTTTTAGTTAGATATTTCGAGCTTCTCGTCCTTACATCTAAGTCTTGTTTATTTCCAAAATCTTTCTAGATTTCGCCTACGAACAGTTTCTTGGTGATGAATTTCTTCGTCTCATTTTACTCAAATTTATCTTTTGTTTTCAATCTCTACGGCTGCACAAAGACTTCAAGGTAGGCAGGCTCGTTTTACATTTTCAACTATTTTTAATTGATCTACTTCCATTGGTGGTGAATTCTCAATAAAACCTTTGATAAGCTTTTGTTTAAAGCGAATTATAGATTTTAAAGGTTTGCAACTCAGAATTTTTCTTGGAACCATCTTCATGGGCCATTTGCTTTCCTTTTCAAAAGTTTTCCAAGTCAATTCACAAAGTCACGGTTTTGCCAGTAAAAATTTCTAAGATATTGGGGATAAATCTTGTTTTTTGTTGCAGTCAAAATAAAAGTTGAAACACCATAAATATAGGTAATAAATATAGGTAAAGAGGGTTATTTTGTGCCAGTCTGTTATATAAAGTTTTATGGTTTGCACTATAGATTTTGGTGTGCAGAAGAGGACGGTACTAAGTCGCTTCCGTCCTATGCGGTTGCCTGGTGATGGCAACTTACGGCCTTTCTTTTGTACAAACCAAAGAATGGATATAGGTAAACATAATTATCAAATCTGCAATTTAACAAAAGCCTTTTTTTGTTGCAGAATATCTATTAACAGTAATATTTAGTAATACTTCTATCTTTGTTCAATTTTAGGGTGCATCGTATTATCCATCAGCATCCCCCTCTATTTCCAATGAAGTCCTCAACCATAAAGGATTCGCAAGACATTTGCTTGAACTCGCCTCTCTACTCGATGCAAGAGATGCCTTCAATGAGTTGTCAGAAGTAGTTGCGTTTGAGATGATGACTTTGTGAGCAAACAAAAGTTCATGACGGAACAACTAAAAATTCAAAGACTACGAACTGAGATTATTGTTAGAGAGGGTAGTTTCAGCATGAATGGTGCTCAGTGTAAAAACGAAACAGAAGCTGTTGGAAAGCATGAAACAGGAGAATTTTTCTTGTATACACACTTTTAAGGTCAGTTCTAATTACTGTCATACTCAATACCCAGGTTTTGAATTTTCCTTTTATAGTTTGTATAAATTTTTGTAAAAATTTGTAAATTAGAAAAATGATTTGTGAATATGTTGAGAAGTAATTTTGCAAATGTTTGATTGTTAATTGTTGCAACAGGGGCGACACCAGATAGGAGCTAAGGGAATGTAGCCCTTTCCATTGAAAGATGTTGCCCCCTCCCCCTCCTCCTCCCCCTAACCCCCCTCCACCCGTGAAAAAAAGACTCTTAGAGCTGCTGGTACCGCCCCTGTGTCGCAAAAATGTGTCCATAGGTTCATCAGAGTATATATGTTTCCTGAAGATTTGCATAAATCTTGTAAAAAATGTTTCAAGTAACGAGAAAAATTGAGTATTTTGTTGAAAACGAGTTTGTTACTTCTTATAGCATTGATTTCCAATATGTCGACATAGATTTATAACCAAAGGAACACGTATAGAAGAAACTGTCAAAGGGGGAAATCTTGTCATCAAGGTGGTTTAACGTCAGTTTTGGCGTGGAAATTTGTAAATTCCACCCCTTGTGATAATGATATTACTGAGAACCGGATGAGACGTGTTTTCTAGAATTAGGTGATAAATTACAGTGCCTTTATTTTGAAATTGTTAGAATTTGATATTAAATTATAACGAGGCTACGCAACATTTTTTAAAAAAGCAAAATAGTCACTTTTACACAACAGTAAAGAAAGCAAAAAGGACAAAAAAGTGCATTTTTACTTCTATCATTTGTCATAAGCATTTCTAGCTAATTTGATCTGTCGAAAATTCTTAATGCAGACAAGCAAGTGATAGGCTTAAAAGACTTAATTAAATTTGTATTTAGTAGAAGAATTCATAAAAATATCTGATTGGCAGCAAAAGAGAACTTAAGTAGATTTGATCAAAGATAAAAGCGTTTCGACATCCATAATTTGTGGTTATTTGCAAAAAACGCAAATAGCAAGAGGGTTTCTCCAAATTCTTGACTATTGCCCCTTAATTTGTCCTATTTAATTGCAGCAATTCAAAACAAGGGTTTAAAAGAAGGAAGTTGCTTTTGAACTCAATGAACAGCAACCCCACCTCCATTTTCATTTGTTGTGCAGGAGAGAACTGTCCTTCCTGAAGTCAAAATAGGGTTAATCTGGGTAGGCTGCCAGCGTGAATGAGTGAAAAATATCTATTATGTTGTATTCGAAATAGGCGTTATCGCAGACCAAAACAAAAAGCTCGAAGTTACATTGGCACGGATAAGAAGTGGATTTTTTAGACGCTCACAAAAAACTCCTTAGCAAGTAACAAAAATATACTAAATCTGCTAATTCACCTTTTGTGTTTGATTTATCTGTCAGATTTTTTGCCATAAAAGGGGCTTATCTTAGAAGGGGGCTTGTGGTACAAAGGCTTATTAGACAACTCTGGGTGTGTGTTAGCTCGTATTTCTGTGACACAAAACTGACGATGAGATAAATCTGCTATTTAACGCCTAGATATAAATAAAATCCTCCAGTCCTGAAAAGGGGCCTTAGAAGAGGATGGAATACATAAATGTTCAAACAATGAAGGCATTCAACGCTGTTGTTCTGCAGTAAAATCAATGAGCTGCATATTAAATATTCAAATTTTGTGGAAAAATAACAAGTCATGCCAATAAATGAAGGTGCGTTTTCAGGTACACTTGGTATTGGTAAGCAAAGGGATGTGTTACATTGTTTATAAATAATCTGTTTATTTTCGAATTGCACTCTATTTCAGCTAATGCAAAGCAAGCATATGTGATTGCTTAATGTAAAAGGTCAGCAAAAAAGGGCATCCATAAAGTCGTTGTGCCCAATAATCGTGTAATTGCATGCAGATTAAAAAAAAATTGCATTGGAAAATCACTATCCATCGCATACGAGAGGAGTTGGGGAGGGGGGGGGGGACAAGGGATATTCAAAATCTTAGCTGAATCTTGAAGCATATCCTTTATATTTTTCACAATTTACAAATTAACTTTTTCCTGCTTGTTTACTTAATGTAAGATTATTTTGAGATGTAAAGATGTAAGATATAATTTGAGAAAAGTAAGATATATAGTTATTTTGAGAATTTATGCAACTTGTCTCTTGTACCCTACTCCTCAGGTATGAGATAGCTTGCTTTCACAGAACGTAACCCCCTTCAGCGTACGTACGTTTTGATGTACCTAAACGAGCAAAATGGAAGAGAGAGGCCACTGGCATTTGCAGCATGGGAATAGGGCGTCCGTAAATTCTCAGCTCAAGGACACATTCAGAATGTTCAATTTGAGACAGGGTATGAATAACGACTGGTATAAAGAATCGAGGTTGACTGCAGAAGAATCTTCAGTAACTCCTTAACTCCATCCAGTTGACCAAATTGCTGTCGTTTTCTCGGTGTCTCACCCCATCATTAGTAAAGCAATGAGTGATGATATCACAGCGACTAATATTCCAATAAGACACACTGTCAAGGAAAACAGAGCGTTATTAACACAGATTATGAAGCAATACCCACTGAAGCTTTATTTTCGTTAGAAAAAGCTTTGAATTTTCCTACAATCCTGGGCATAGCTGTTGATATCACCGCCTAACACATGCAGGGTAGCATTAATGCATAGTAGCACTTCTCACGATTTCTTCCTATCCAAAGTTTAAGCCTTTGCATATATGGCATTCAAATCGACATTGGACTGCGGAGTGGCTTGTGCTGGGCTGCAAAACCTCATATTCCATGTCCAGAATTGTAGACAGAAATTGTCCAGAAATTATATTTGTCTTAATTAACAAATGCACCCGATCAAAAATTCAAAACCTATGTTTCCAAATTAACAATTCTAGGAATTAAGGTAGCAATTAAACTTTAAGGCTCTTGCGCAACTGACATGCTTAGCGGCAGTTGTCTTGAGAAATTGGCTCTTTTGTGTTTTCATGAAGTACGATATTAGGCCGGTTTTTTGAATTATACTCGCAAAGCATGCCGGTTGCTCAAGAGCCTTTAAGTTCCAATTCAGATTTTTTATCGGATGGTGACATCATATAATGAGGGAAACGTCGAAATATCAGCTACACTGAGAGGCAGGTTAGCCTACAATGATACATAAACAATTATGGGTTGTGAATCGCTAATTTAGAGCTTGGCCTGGCCTAAAAGATGTTTTAGACTTACATAAATAATTGCTTTTCTCTGATTGACTCTCGGCTGCTACTTGATCAGGAGAATCCTCGTTTGATGAACTCTGGCCGCTTTCCACGCTCATTTGAGCCGCCATTTCTATGTCTACAAAAGAAAAGCCGGATATCATAGCAAGGAACGCGGAGCATATTACGGATTGAGAGGGCTAAAACCTTTTGGGGGGCTAAACAAGCCTAAAAACCAAAAACAGAACGATTTTTGATTGGTTTTAAGTAGATTTTAGAAATTATTTGGGGGCGCTAAAGCCCCCCTGCCCCCCTCCGCTTCCGTGGTCCCTGTATCATAGCGCACTACCATAAGGGCATACGAAAAACATTTTTAGGAAAAGAATTCTAAATGGGACTTTGGTAACCGCAGCTTGTTAAAGAACTTGATAATAAGAACCACGACGAATAAAAATGCATAAAAACATAAACGTTTTAACTCTATCCAGAGTCATCTTCAGTATATATTAAAGGGCGAAAAACAACTATAAATACATCGGTAAGTATCTTTATATAATGGATATGTCTCTAATGGAATTGTCTAATACTGGTTTCGTCAATCTCGTCAGTATGAATACCGGATTTGTCTAATTAACTGATTTTCAACAAGAAGTTGTCGACTGTTTCAGCAACATGCATTTTTCATTCGTCGTGGTTCTTATTATCAAGAATTCTAAATCAGGGTTGCCAGATGCTTGGAATGGTTGACTACGAAATTCGGCCAGCCAAACAAAATATACAAAAAAGCTACGTTTTGCGAATTCTTTGGAGTAATAGTGTAATCAAAAATGGCTTTGTTTGTTACCAAAGCTCCCACTTGCTTTCATTTTCAATTTTCTGCTATCTTTTACTTTGCTTCTTGCTTTGTTATTTGCAATTTTGAGATTATTTAAATAAAATGTTGAATATTATCTGTGCTAGAATTGTCGTTTTCTTTTTTTGTGGCTTCAACATGCGGCCAAAATTCGGCCAACTTTCGATTTTTCGGCCAAATCAATTTTCGATGGCCAACAGCTTTGAAAAACGGCCAGAATGGAGGAATTTGGCCATCAAAACGGCCTAATGGCAACCCTGTTCTAAATGATACTTGCTGGATTTATGGACAGTACTTCATTTAAACAGTTAGTGGTCACTACTTCAAATCTAACTGAATAAATAACTTGCTCCTCTAGAGCACGTTAATGAAAGATTGCCTATCAAGTAAATAATCTCAACTAACCTGGTGATTTTTCATTATAAACCAGACTATCTTTTGTTATTGATAAATTGAGAAGATCGTAAAACCTCTCTAATGTTTCCTGAAGGAATAAAAGAATCAAAACTATACAAGCACCCTCTTTGACTTTCTAAAAAATTGGCAAGAGTGGGGCAGGTTTATCCTGGGCATCTAGTTGACAGAAGGAGTGGGGGGTAGGGAGTGGAGGGGGTAGGGAGTGGAGGGGGTAGGAAGTGGAAGGGGTAGGGAGTGGAGGGGGTAGGGAGTGGAAGGGGTAGGGAGTGGAAGGGGTAGGGAGTGGAGGGGGTAGGGAGTGGAGTAGGGAGTGGAGGGGGTAGGGAGTGGGGGTTAACCATTCATAAATACGACATGGAAAGCCAATGCTAATTTTTTCTGTGACTGTACTTGATTTAAGCATATCTATAGTTAACACCTATTCTCTTGATGTTTGAAACCAAAACCATCTCATTATGCCCTTGTCTGACCCTTGTCTGCCCCCGACTGTTACTGCCCATCATCATAGATGTTTGCATATCCAAGAACGAGGTAGGGTAATTCCAGTACTGTCAATTCATAGGCACACTTTGTGCAAATAGCTAACATATAATTTCTTATCTTGTACTTTGAACGTGATTTTGCTAGGAGAGCGTTGTTTGAGAAGCCTCTCACTAAAAAATCCATTGATCAAAAAAAGAATTTAGCAGCTAATGCAGAAATTTATAAATAAAACTTACCTTGCTCTCTTCATCTTTAAACACATAATCACAAAAGTATAAAGGAGTCTTTTTGAACTGTGCCAAGACACGGGTGGGTGAAACGAGGCTCCAGTCGTCCACTAGAAAGAGGCGAATGATTATGTAATAAGTAACATAAGATCGAAGAGCAATAATTAGTAGGATGGGTCGTTAAAGATGCTTGGCATCAAAATAAAGACTTCAAAATCAACCTTTAAATTGCATTATCGGAACTTCTGGTCAATCATAAATGTAAAGGACGATAAAATTTGTATCTTCTACCAATGAAATGTCAAAAGCCAGTACACTGCTAACATAAATTGAGTGAATGCTTTATGTAGAAAGCTGACCCTAACGATTCTTGTCAAGCAATCATAAATTTATTTTGATATCTTAAGCAATAAATATACCTTGATAAAGATTGTTCACCTCGGCCTCTTCACACAACAATTGTATTCTTGATAAAATGCTTCGAATTATATCTCCCTTTAAAGCCTGAAAAAGAAATCAAAAATGCAATTCTAGAAATTCAAATCAAAAGAAGGGATACGCTTTTATGGACAGCAACAAAATATGAATTCAAATTGCCGTTTGTGAAGGGCACAGCATACTTTTTTGTCACGTGCTCAGCTGAGGTAACAAGCTTTAAAAGAGGCAAAACGATTTCATTTGGGCTGGAGGGTGGATTTCCTTCCCTCAGTTAGAATGTAGATTCCTCAGAAGAAATAAAAAACAATGTAATTTAGCGCCTAATTCTAGAAATTGTTGCTATTTTTTCGAAATAAAACAGGGTAGATCCCACAAAATATTTGAGAGCAAACAATGATTTGACTTTTTAAACAATCTATGATCGATAAAGTTGCGCATCAAAACGATTAAGAATAGTAAAATCTCATTTTCTACAAGTTAAGTTCCTTTGAAATGTCTCGAAAGATGACTTTGGTATGCAAGCTAAATTTTAACTTGATTTTTAGATAGTACAGCAATGTGCTTTTTACCAACCTTGATGGCTTCTCCTTTCGTTGCTTTCGGGTGGAGATACGCGACACAATAAGATTTGCCTACAAATTTGATAACCCCTCGAGAGCATTTCCTTTCTAATTTATCAGCATTATCGCATTTCTGAAAATAAAAAACAAAGAGTTCGTGACTTTGGTTGTGTTGTTTGTCACCAAGAAAATATTGAAGAGGAGAGGTGCATAATTCAAAGTTCGAAGAATGTCTAAAAAATATAAATAGGCAACGATAACTTCCAAACTTAATTTAATCAGAAGATAGACATATCAGAATGAAATATGAATTCTCTAATCCATTGTCATGCCTCTATTTTTTAAGTTTAATTCGACGTATTCGTCTTCATGAAACTTTTGTTTAGACATTTGTCATTCTTCTGGTTTTGCTCAAGTTTACATTGCAATGCAGTGATGGCAAAACACTACAGAAAAATTGATTTAAAATTTTTTACTTGATACATATTTCTAGAGATATCTTTGCATTTCTCAATAACTTCCTAACTAGCTTACAATTCTGTAATGTTGTCGACCCTTATTCTAGTTTGTTTATCAAAATGGACTGACTATAAAACGCATTCAAGTTAACACTGCAAAGCTTTCAAAAATGCAGAATAGTTGCTAAGCCAAGAAACATAATAAAATATCTTACATTGCAAGCAAAAAAATCGATTTCCGCAGTTCTTGAAACTTCTTTTATCGGTTTTCCCTTGCCCTAGAAAAATTACATTTCAGAATCAGCCAGAAATTCTATTAAACATATTAAGGGATTTTTCACATGGTACATAACGAAGGAAGGGGCGGGTTCCTAAACACCTACAGATGATTAAGTGGATAGTTTAGGGTAAGGGTAGAGAGGCGTTTGTGCTAATAATGACATAATCAACATAATCAAAGTTGTCTTCACAACATGTAAACAATCAAAAACTACAATCCTTGCCAAATTATTGGAACACTTGCGAAAAGTTGAAGCTTTTTTGAAAAATAACCCCCCCCCCTACCCCCCATTACAATGTTGTTCAATGGGACTGTTTTGATCCTGAAGATAAAAATTTCTTCAAAGAAAGCTGTATGAAGGTGTTGAGAAAATAAATCAACATTGTACGGGGGGAGGGGGTCGAAATTTTTGAAGCGGCAGTGATATTTTGGTAAGGTAGTTTTAGATTTGCTTTGTTTATTTGCATGCTGCAATGGGAAGGCGTTCCAGTTATTTTTGGCAAGGATTGTAGGTTCTGTTTTTAACACTTTGAGACTGACCAATAATATACTTAGTAGGGATAATTGAACTCACAACTTTCTGGGCCTCAAAGAGAAGTTCTTCGTCTTCCACAAAACTGTCCTTTATTAAAGCCACTGAATCACAAATGTCCTCCAATTGGTCCTGCAGTCCTTGCTACAAAGGAGAAAGAAAGAGAATTATAATGAATTTCAAATATCAGAATACTTGCAACATTGGTTAAAGCTTTGTATTTTTACACTTTCACATGATAATGTATCTCCTATGATAAAACCAGAAAATCCCAAAAGTGATCCTAAAAACCATACAAATTGTCTGACATCATTGCTGGTGGTTTCTTTTTAGTATGTTTGTCCCTTGATAGCCGCAAACATGATATGTGAACGGTTATTTGCAAATATGGCTAGAAATACTGTTTTTAAATGATCGCATTAATAAAAACATTTCTTTAGAACTTATAAAATTAGGTCACATAACCTGAAAAAGAACAATTAAATATCCTTTAATGTGCAAAATCATTTAAGCATGAAACAAACTGGCTGAGATGTGGTCATAAGAGCACAGGCTCTTTTCCTATCAAATAATTTTATAATTTGTGATATGTGAAAATATTTTATTCAAAACAAAAACAAGGAAAAATATATCAATCAATTTGCAACAATTTAGAATTATTATTGACTGCCTGGGAGTATTTTAATTGCACTTTTAGGCTGTGTGACCAAAGGTCCAAAACTCTAAAAATGGATTTTCATGAAGCTACACTCAAGAACTCTGACTTATCTAAGAAAAATCTAATGGAAACATATCTAATGGAAAAAGCAAATCTTGATAGGTAATCCTTTTTAGTTAGTTGAATTACCAAGAAGTTTAGATCTAGCAAAGAATGCTACCTATCTGGATCAAAATAATGAGGCAACGATAAAAGCTTCACTTACAAATATCAGACTTTCAAATTGACTCTTCTCTGATGTGACTGGCAGGTTGAAGCGTAAATCAATATCGGCTACACATTTAACAGAGTTCCATTTGCTGAGAAAGCTTTGGTATTTGAACTCGGCTGGTTTAAGCTGCATTTGAGTGTCAGTTGAACTCATTGTCCTGCATGTTATTCTGAGCATGGTTAAAGAATTGACATAAAGTTCATTAAATAATAAATAGCGCTAAAAGGACAGGGTGAATTGGAAAAGAATGTAAACATTGAAAGAAGAAGGTAAACACTGGAAAAATAGTGGGGAAGCACTTTATCAATTTATCTGTTAAGGTGATTGTTTGAAAAGAGGACTGCATTTTTAAAAGGGTGACAATTTATCATTCTTGCAAGCAAAGTTGAAGGAGATATACTTCAGTTTATTTCATCCCAATTTTCTTGATTCATGTTGCTTCTTTTCATACATTTCCTGTTCTTTATGGCAAGTGATAAAAATTTGGCAATTGCTTAGCCCTTAATTCAATTAGCCATGCTAACCAAAGTGAGTAAGAGAGGTCAAAGCAAAAACTTTAGAGAAAGTCAAATGAGCCCAATGTTGATTGAAAAGTCAAGATTGATTGACTGCTTTGTCCATCAATGCTGTCAGAGTTCTTTCTAGGAACATCAGATCTAGCAAAATTTGAAGAAACTCAAGCTTAGGAGTTTTTTCAGAGACAATATAAACTCTAATACACATCTCTACAAAATAACCATCTTGCTGGAGAAACTGACTGAAAAATTAACTTTTTCAACACAGATAGCTTGCCTTCCTTAAAATTCACAAAAAAGTTACAAAAGGATCTGCCTATAAAGAAAGGATACTTTCTAGTTGATGCACATATATGGAGTAGCATGCGCTCACTGTGGGCAAAGAATCTTCTAAGGGCTTTGCTCCGTTCTGTGACCTTTTGAAATGCACTGATGCATTGCTTCAGTTTTCCTTGGTACTTATTGGCAAGGTCAGGACTACCAAAAAGGTAAACACCTATGATATGGATCCCACCAGGCAGCATTCTGCTTACCTTGAAATAGAAAACAAAACTGACGAACTCATCCATATTGCTTAAAAAAACTGAGCTGAGGGGAATTGCAAAATTACAAAAATAATAAAGGATATGATATTAAGCTTCTAATATTTGCAACAAAAAAATCAAATAATTCTTAAATTACTTTTCTTTTATGGAAACTTCTAGCTTATGAATTTATATTACCAATGAATTGCAAGTTGCAGACTTAACATACTTGTCTAGCATGCTCTATGATCCATTTCTCATTAATTTCTTCAGCATTTGATGACACTTGCTTTTTCTTTTCTTTCTTCTCTTCCTGTTTTAGGGGCATGCTTTCATCACCTTGGCAACTTTCAATTTCAGCTATAAGCAAAATTTAGTTTAAACTTGAGAAATCCAAAATGTAAAATATGATTTATTGGAAACTAATTAGGATAAAGTTGAACAACTAACTAAATAACAAAACTAACCCTTATACAATATATGTGACTTTAACATCCCACAGACAACAAAAAGCACAGAAAAAAGTGAAAAGAACAAAGAGCTAGGAAAACAGATTTTTAGAAGGTAGCCATACACTACAGAAGCGATGTAGAAGAAAAGGATGCTGACAATAAAGAAAGAAAAGTTTAATGAGTTGACAAAGGAAGCTTCATTTAAAAAAATATTACCAAAGAAAAATGCATGAGCAAAAACAAAAACAAATGCAAACATCATTGTCAAGTGTGTTTGGAGTTGCCTACTGCTTGTGTTGCAGTTTAAAGATGTGCAGTACTCTAAAAACAGTCTTCGAACATATATTAAAAACAGCAGAAGAAAATGATAATTTACTTTTGTTTTTCAAATTACAAAAGGATATGGATTCCTGAGCCAATATTTACCAACTTTTTCTAAAAATTGTCATATTAGAAAAAAGAAAACAGAGTCTTTACATTGAAAATCAGAACAGTGGTGGCACCAGGGGAGGGCTAGGGGGGGCTATAGGGCTATAGGGCTATGGGGCTATATATATATGGGGCTATATATTTGGATCTGATTATAAAACAATCTCATGTTGTGCTTTTTTATCAAAATCTCAGATACTCGGTGCCATTTATTGTTGCTGTATTTACAGAGCCTTAAACACTTGCATGTGTAGAACAAAGTAGTTCTAAGTTGCAGCGTAGTGTTAAATGCTGTGTCAATTATCAGTATCACTATAAAACTCTTTTAGTTGTGGCTCCGTAAAATCTTTATACAATATTATCACCAAGGATACATGGCATTTTGATAGGGGGCACTCCTACCACATCAATTGTTAATTTTTGTTGCAGTTGTCAGATTGAGACCTCAACAGTGGCATACACCTGGTGGGGGCAAGGGGGATGGTTGCCCCTAACATTTTTTAAAACAATGGTCTTTTATTTTGAAACAATGAGAAGATGTGACATCATCTTATCAAAACAATAGGCTTGTCCCCCCCCAATATTTGTCTAAACTTCCACCCCTGAACATGAACACCAACAGCTTGTAAAGAGAATGGCAATACATTGCAGTTTAAATGTGCAATCCAGATAAGCTGAATTAGAGCAGAGGGTACCTTCATCTTCCACAGGATCAGGTGTTCTTGCCATATGTACAATGAAATCTTTTTGTTCAGTCAACTAAGATATGAGCAATAACAAAATCAGAAGCAGCAACACAATTATAAATCCAAGTTATTCATCTGAAGTAATTGATGGAAACTTCAATGATGAATTCAATCAAATAAAATCATAATTAGAAATGTAGACAATTTAAGACATTCAAAAGAACAATGAGAAGGCTAAAATCATTTTCGAGAGGCAAAAAAGGGGAAAATGACAAAAAGTCCTTTGTTATATGCCTCTACCTTATTATTTATTTACACGATATTCCCTCAGGAAATCATTTGTCAAAAAGTTTCCTACTGCCAGAGGCTCAAAACACTAGCATCTTTTCTTGCTGTTTTAATCTTCAAAACAAAAAATATTTCATTGAGAGGGTGGATAAATATTGACATTCAAATATGTGAATTTCCACTACATTTTCTACTCTTGAAAACTTTTGGCTATTAAAGATGCAAACCTGTCCAAGCAGCAACCCTGTTTGCCATCTAAAATTTCCAAACAAGCTATCAATTCCATCTTTTAAACTGTCTTCTGCTATAACTGTACGTCCCATTCTGCTGCTCTTTTAAGTCTCTCTTTTGTTCCCAGGTTGCACTACAAAATTGAAGTCTTATTAAAAGGCATGTCAAGACAACTATAATTTGTGTCATTTGCAAACGTTAAAAATTAACATTTTTAGGAACTCGAAAAATAATATGAATGATGGTAAAAATAAATTTTTCAAGGTAAACCACAACAGCTCTTTTTTGAAAATTAATAATATTTTGAAATTCACTTTCAATTCGAGCAATAAAACATACAAGTTGAAGTTTAAACACAAATATGTTAAGAGATTATATTACAATTCTAAATCTTAACTACTGACAATTATTGTTAATAAAAAAGAACAGTAATACGATAACTTAATATAGTATTTTCATTCGTTGTTTAGGACCCTTAGAAAAAACTCCAAAACGGGCTATCGAGCTAAGGGCCCTTCTTTTAAAGCATTGCTAAATAAAGAAATATAGGAATTCAGAACAAATTGCTGCATCATTAAATATACGACCCTCTTCAAAATACATATTTTTCTAACAAAAAATGTAACAAGTTTTCGGTAAGTATTTATTATAATTACAATTACTAGAGCTTTTTCCTGCACTTAAAACCTAATGAAAAAATTGTAATGTCAGGAGATGATATCAATTTCATGTAGTTATCTAAAGGCTTTAAAAAGTATCTTGAAAATATCAATCGATTTTTTTCATTAAATAATGTAAATACGAAATACTCACGCTTCTTCAAGCCTTAAAATTCTCTCCTTCAACTGATGAAGATCTTTAATCGTAGTTTACGTGTCTAACTTAGGCCATCTTTTTTATAAATTTCAGGTGAATCCATAACGAGGCAGGAAAGGAAGTGTGTTTGATCATGACGTCATAAGAAAGATTCCGACTACCCGGATCAACACACCCCAGAGCCCGGCGGGTTTACTCTCATTGTCAAGCGTGAACGCCCGTGTCTTCAATATATCTTAATAAGGGGTTCAATTTTGTCATATATGTAGTAGGACATAAAAAATAGAGAAAGGGTGTATGATATGGTAATCTTAATATAGTTTCTAATTTTTCTTTGTTTGGCCTTAGTCCAGCTACTTGATTTAAAAAAAGGTATAAATTTTCTTGGGTTTCAAAAAAAGGGGAATCAAATTGGAATCAAACATCAGTGATAAGACACGGCTGCTTAAAAAAAGTTTAAAGAAAAATTAATGTGTCAGGCTGCTTGCCAAGGAAGGCACCACACTTCGTTTCGTTATATGGATACAAAAGTGCTTTTTTCGAGAGGAACAAGAGACCTTGAGAATCTGCCTTACCAGCAGGACCACTGACGAAGGGGGGCCGGGGGCAATGCTCCCTACCCCCACTTTTCCGCAAAACAATAGAGCTTTTTCCGCAAAACAATAGAGTTATAGGTGTTAAATTCTTCCTTTGCCCCCTCTTTTAAACCTGTGTCGGAACCAATGACTCGAATTCACATAAATGTTCTCTAGCGAGAAATTTTTCAGAAAAAGTTTCCAAGAACTTATCAATATCATAGTTGACTTGATCATCCGAAGATGGTGACTTCCACCTAATGAGCACATTCTGATGCTCATAAATCATTCTCAATTATGCCCATCAGAT